TTGGGGTTTGTCAGAGGGGCAGTACTGGTGTGCCAGCCCTTCCAGCAGAGCTACATGCATGGGAGCACTGCATGAGGTCCTGGGGATGCTCCCTGGCCTCTGGGAGGGACAGCCCTCCCTGGGCTGCTGGCAGCAATGCAGGGCTGTGCTGTGCTGGGCACTGCTGTCCTGCTGTGCTATTGCCTGCCCATGTCTCCCCCCTCCCCCTGCCTGCTTTCTCCTGCATCAGCCTGCATTTGTAAAATGAAATAAATATTGACATGGACGGGATGCTATTCAATTTGTCCTGATCACTGGGCTGCGGTGAGTTCTGACAGAGCACAGTGTAAAACATAAGCTCAGGATGTAATTTCTACTGTCAACATGATGTACAGTAGAGCTGTGCCAAATGCACACCAACAAACTGCACGAGCTCTGCTGGGCAGGGGGGAGTTGTGCTGATAATTGGAAGTGGGCATGGCAGAGCAGCAGGACAGGGACATCACCCTGGGCCTGGGGCAGTGTCAGGGTCTGGTGCTTCACACTCTGCATGGAAACCTGCTTGGTGTGGTGTGCTGGGCACGCTGCCACGTGGGAACATGTGGGCTGGGCTGGGCTGGCTGCAGCAGCAGCAGCTCCCATGGTTATTTACAGCCCCACTGCTCAGGTGTGGCAGAGGGAAGGGGCACTTCCAGCTGTTGGTGAAAGGTTTCCAGTAACACAGGGAAATAAACACTGTGCTAGTCCTGGTTCCTGTGCATGGCACCTCCTGGGGTGTCTTCATTCCTGCTGCTGCAAGGGCATGAGTAGGACTTGGAGCTTTTGGCTTTGCAGCTTCTGGAAGAGGTGTGTGATGTGACAGCTGGAAAGATTCTGCACACTGAGGAGAGACATGACCCTGAAGCTGTCACAGAAGAGACACGGGCTGAGAATTTGTCACTGGAGAAGAAGGATCTGGTTTGTGGCAATGAGCCTGGCTCCAGATGTGTCTCTGGGCCTGCATTTTGTGGTGCAGGGGACTGGAGTTCAGCACAGGTTCTGCAGTTGGGCTTTGATGTCTGGGACCTGGATGAGGCACCTGAGTCCTGCATTGCTGCCCACAGGAAGAGCAGGCAGACAGCTCAGCTGAGAGGAGCTGAACTTTGGGCACGTGACACAGCCACCAGCAAACTGCATCAGCTCAGATGAGAAATCTGTGAAATACAAACCCAGCACAATAGCTGAGACTGTACATGAGGTTGTGTTTCCCACAGCAACGCAGCCCAGCCCCATGGGTGCTCAGCAGGACTCTCTCTCCATGGCAGAATCTGCTCTGTGGAGTGCTCAGATGCTACAGGACTGAACAAGTTGCCTTGGGAACTGTGGGCCAGCTTGTCTGGCAGCCAGGGAGCAGCTCTGCTCAAGGGGAGCTTGCCCACTGCAGCATCTTCTGCCCTCACTTTCTCTTTCCTGCCTTGCCTTAGTGTGTGCATTTAAGCTGTTCTTGTTACTGGTTTATTGATGCTGTTTGGGACTGTGCTGCTTCCATTGGTGTGCTGTAGCTCTGGTCAGGCTGACAGAGAAGGACAGAGTCCATTTCTGAGCAGGGAGCAGTGCCACTTCTGTGTGCACAGGGCTGCCTGGGGTACCTGTGTCCTGGAGGAAATCAGAGGCCACTGAGGTGTGAGAGGTGTGATGAGGGGAATCCAGGTGGCTCCTAGTGTGCCACAGAGCCAGTGTTGGTGCTTTCTGCCAGCTGTGAGCCCCCAGTGCTGGGTCCTGGAGGCAGTGGGAATGTGCTGCCTTCGTGTGCCAGCTCGGTTGGGCACCCTGGATGCTGATGTTAGTTGTGGTGCCAGGATTTGCTCCATTGGACTGGCTTTCCTGCAGCCTCCCCCATGTGTTCAGAAGGCCTTCAGTGTTGCAGAACTGCACCCTGGCACTGGCACTGCTGCCTTGTCAGGCTTCTGGCAGGGTTTTATAAATCAGTGTGGCTGGATCTGCTCCTGGATGGCAAGGACAGGATGCTGGGTGGGCAGAATGGGAGAGTTCAGCAGGTGGTGGCTGCTTCTCCCCAAGGCTCTGGCTGACATAGCTGTCCTGGGAGCACATGCAGATGGATTCCTTTTTAAATTCTCTTTCTGGCAGTTGAGTTTACCCGCTACAGCTCCTTGTACTCAGATTTTGGGTACAGCTGGAGGTGTTGCCTGCAAAAGTGCTGCAGAGTGGCAGGCAGAGATGCTGGGCAGAGTGTTCTTCCCACACTTACTGTTTGCCCTTGCTGCTGACCTGAAACTCTTGCTCTGGCACAGCTTTTGCTGCTCAGTTTATTGACATGTGTCATTGTCTGGGTAACCTACTCCAAAATAACCAGAGCTCTCCTAGGTGTGGGAGTTGGGAGAGGTGCTGTTTGTGACAGCAGTGCACTATGTCTTGCTGTATTTATCTTCTGTATACCCAGGTAAGTGTGATAAAGCACACTTGCACTTGTGCTGTTTTTGTGAGTGTCTTGCTCTGCTGTGGGTTGGGCAGCCCCAGCTCTGTTGCTCCAGAGCAGGGACCCCAACCTCTGCATTTAATCTGTGAAGTTACTTTACCCTCTATGTGGGAAGAGGCGGCTCAGTCTGTCCCCCACCTAGAGGACATCCTGCTCCCCTGGGTGTACAGTGTTAAATACTCTGGGGTTTGATGGGGACCCTCACCAGCTGCCCTTTGGCAGCAGGGACAGGAAGCATTTCTGCATGGGGAGGCCTGGCTGCAGACACATTGCCAACAACTCACCTGGCTGCTGGGAAATACCTTCATGATAAATGGGCTGGCAAGGAGGAGGGGTGGGGAGCAATGTTACTGCTTCTGTACCATGATTGCTAACACAAAAATACACTGGAGACCCTGTTTTCCTTGGAGCATGAAGTGCACAGGGCTGGCACATGTGACAGCTGATGTGCATGTGTGAGTGGAATATAGTGTGTGTACACGGGGAGGAAATGTGTGTGCACACAAATGAGGCAGAAATAGACAAAAGGAGCCAGTGTGCATGAGTGATCTTGGCTGTGCTGGGGTGGGGTGTGTGTGAGACCTTCTGGTGAATAGATTTGTGCACATTGTGTGACACACAACTTGTGAGCCATGAGCAGGCAGTGTAGAATGATGCTTTGTGGTTCTCAGGGAAGGGTTTCTCCAGACAAGTGAATGCAGACAGGAAAGAGTGCAACAGACATTCCCTGTTTGGGAAATGGCCCCATTGGTGGAGTCACATGGGGGAATGGCAAGTGAGGGAAAGGGCTGGAGAAATATGTGGGAGCTGTTCCTCCTCCGAACTGTTCAGATTTGTGCAGGGGTCTGTGCAAAGCACAGTCCAGTTCCCTTTCTGTGGGGAATAGATGGACACCTGGTCCAGGATCATTTGCCTTTCCATTCACCCTTTTTCTGCTCTCCTCTACTGCTCCAGAGGAGCAGCTGACAGGAGATGAATTCTGCAGACTGGTGCATGTTTCATGAGAAGATCAGGCTGTGGCTGGTATTGCAGAGCTCTGGTGGAACCTCAGGGTGTTGGTGCAGGGAGAGATGGATGCTGCATCCCCATCTCCTGATCAGACTTCTCTCCATGTGTACTGGATGCAATGTACCCTTGGCTGAAGGTCTGGTGTCTCAGCCCTTGGTGCCTTGAGGGTGGCTTGAAGCTTACAGCAGAGTCCTTTTTCAAACTGTTACCTTTAGAGTCAGCCAGGTGGCAAATTCCTGAGCAGATGCTTTTCTGCTGCCCATGGCTGCAGAGGTGAGATGACAGAGAGGTTCTGCAGGGAGGGCTTGCAGGAGTGTCTGCTCAGGGGCTGGTATCCCTCAGTGTGAGCCTTGTCTGCCTGTGCAGGACTGCTGTGCTCTGGTCCTGTGCAGGCACCAGCAGCTGTGCTGTGCCAGGAGTGCTGCTGCACATCTCCTGACAGTGTGGGTGGGCACCAGTGACTCCCTCCAGGCACAGACCTCACTCCTCTCAACAGCCAGGACCATGTGGTGAGGGGGTGCCCTTGTCAGCAGGATCCTTGGTCTCTTGAGTCCCTGCTGGAGCAGATATCTGCAGTGCTGAGAGCTCTGCAGCCCTCCCTGTTGTGTTGCTGCTCTGCAGGACCTGTGGGATTTGGCCTGGCTGTGGAGCTCCTGGGGCAGGGCAGGGTGGGAGATACTGAGCAAGGCTGCAGGAGCAGCACAGGGGGACGCTGGGCCATGTTTTCACACCAGCTCTGACACTTTGGCTTTTTCCAGGCTCCTGGAGATGCTGCTGACTGCCCTGCACCTCCCTGCGTGAGCCAGCAGAGAATGGAAGTGGCCGGAATCATCTGGGCAAAGGACCCTTCAGCAGGCACTGGGATGGTGTCCCCCTGAAGATGGGAGTTACAAATGGCCTTGTGAGCTGCACCTGTGGCACACACACCTGCCCTGCCACACCCCTTGCACAGTAGTCCCAGCTGCCACAGGACAGGCAGACGTTGGCCACAGCAGCTCATCCTGTCAGCTCCTCTGTGAAAAGCTTTGTGGAAGAGCTTCCTCCTCCTCCTCCTGTGAATGCCAGCAGTGGGTATCAGTGCCCCGTGTGCCCGCTGGCAGGGTGGGCAGCAGGCTGTGCATCGCCCCCCTGCCCAGCCAGACCCACGGCAGCCCAGCACGGAGCCCTGCAGCTCTGTCCCCAGGGACAGATGCCAGCTGCCAGACTCTTCTCTGGAGACCCAGCAGCAGCCTGCCAGGAACCAGCACTGACTGCTCCCACGCCAGCAGCGGGCAGCCCGGGCCACCTCTTGTCCCAGATGTGACTCAGGCAGGACAGGAGCGCTCCAGCTGCAGGGCAGGGCATGCAGCAGGGACAGGGATGCTCTGCACTGACCAGGCAGCCTCACACCCCTAGCGTGGACTTTCCTCCTGCTTCTCCCTAAAGGATGCTGGCTGCCTGTCCAGAAGCTCCTAGTGTGGACTTTCCTCCTGCTTCTCCCTAAAGGATGCTGGCTGTACACCCAGAAGCTCCTGCTGATGCAGCCTCCTAGAGTGCCATGGCGAAGGGTCTGCGGGGCTGCTTGTGCACCATGCTGCTGCTGCTGTGTGCTGTGCAGGAGCTGGGGTGCTGGGCCATGCACACAGCAGGGCAGGGCTCTGACCCTGGGGAGCCCGGGGACCCTGCCCTGCTGGCCGGAGGGAGAGTGAAGCGTGGCTGGGTCTGGAACCAATTCTTTGTGGTGGAGGAGTACACGGGCACGGAGCCGCTCTATGTGGGGAAGGTAAGCTGACCTGGTGTCTCCAAGGGGCTGACAGGGGCAGGGTGGGAATGCTGGCACTGCTGAGCAGAGAGAGGGTCCATGTGAAGGTTGTTCATGGGGGCCTGGCTGGAGAAATACTTTGTGGACTGTGATGGCAGGAGCCTGATTCCTGCTGGGGGGGGTGAGGTTAATGTGCTCCCAGGACACACCAAGATTTACATCTGCACTCCTACAATTGTATACTGGCTTCTTGTGATGTCCGGGGGTGGGTGCAAGAAGCCCTGTCTCTGTGGGACAGGTGACAGTGCCTTGCTGGACAGACTGGGTCTGCAGACAGGAGCTGACCACACTTCCCTGCTGTGTGACCTCCTGGGCAGGCTGGACATGGACCACTCCTGGCTCCCTCCACTCCTGGTGTCCCGAGGCTGAAGGAGCATTTCACCTTGGGGTTGCTGGGCTTTATCCTTTTCTGGGAGCTTTGGAGAAGCAGCTGCCCCACGTGTCAGGCAGATGGGTTGTTTGTATTTGGGTGAAGGCAGTGCTAGCTGTTGGGACCAGTTAAAGGAACACATTGGAACTGGAGGCATGGGCTCACCCCGAAGGAAAGTGCCCAAGAGCTTGTACAGCAGGGCTGTCTGATGGCCTCAGCCGTCTGGGCATGAGTCTGGAGGAGCTTGAAAATGGGTTTCCTGGCTGGGGGCCAGCGGGGATTTCAGTGGTGATTTGTGTCCGTTTCAGCAGACACTCAAAGCCGCGCTCCTGCGCCGCCCTCGGAGCAGGCACAGCTAATTCATGGCTCCCCTGGGAGCAGCACAGGGCCCGTCACAGGCCTGGCACTGCCTCGGCTCCGGCTGAACCCAAACCTACAACTCACCCGTTTTACAGCCCCTTTCCACATCAGCCACCACATCACCCGCCTGGCTCCCAGCAGCAGCAGCACTGCCTGGGATGCCCAGGGCTGAAAGCAGCATGGCCAGGCTTTTCCTGCTGCTGGGAGAGGATGGAGTGCTGGCCTGGGACACTCCTTGTCCCCAGCAGTGTGCCAGCCCTCGTAGCACAGTCTGTGGGTCCAGACCCTTCCTGCTCTGGGGCTTGCCCTCCGTGGATGCCTCTCACACACCTACATGTGCTTTCTGGAGGGCCGATACCATTTCCATAAAATCTGGGTTCTCTAGCTAATCCTTCTTCTGAACTGTAATTTCCCCTGAGGCTGCTGTCAGTTTGATGTGGATTTCTTTGGGTTTTTTAAATAGAATTATGGGGTCAGCACTAGTTACAAACTTCTGCATGTGGACAGATCTATTTTAGATAGAGGAGAGGATTAAAGGGAAAAAAGCAGATTTAATTAAGTTGCTAATATTTAAAGAAAATTGATGAACTCGGGCTTTATGAGTTGGAGCAAACAGAGTGCGCCTTTATTATGGGCTAGTTTTTATTTGATTTTCTTTCTTTTCTAGCCCCAGAGCCATTTTTTATTTGTGTATCTGTGCTTTCTGTTTAATTGCTTTTAATAAGGAATGTGCACCTCTGTTCATATTTAATTTTGATTTAATTATTAGTATGTAATTAATGGCTTGGTAAGAATTCTGCTTGTAGTCTTTTAGGACAAGGAAACAATTTTCCCGTTTAACAAATGGGACAGATCAGCTTATTGTCCTCCCTCTGGATGTCCCAGACACTGCTCTCCTTGCTTGGGGCTGAGCTGCAGGCAGGGCTTGGGCGGTCCCTCTGCTCTTGGGGCCGAGTGTGTGTGGCAGAGCTGTGTGGCATCAGTGTCCTGCCATGCCCAGGGGTGGGGGGAGCCCTGAGGCTGCGTGGGAGCCTGGTGCTCCCCAAGCCTGCCTGCTGTGACAGGGAGGAGAGAACACCCCTGGCATGTGGTCCGTGGCATCTCCCCCTGTGTTTCTGTAGTCTGCCATCCGGCCCTCCCCCATTAGTTGTTGTTTAGCCAAGCAGCACAGATTTAGCTCTTTTAATCTTCCCCTGTAAATCAATCTCTGCAGCCCCTTGAGCCCAGGCTCCATTTTTCTTCCTAGCATTCCGGTTTGCAGGGATGCTGGTGTCTGCTCCAAGCAGTCAGTGATGAGCAAATATGTGAAGAGGATGTGCTGAGAGCTCAATGTGGCGCTGGATGCTTTATCTCTAGCCTAATTATTAATCATGAGCCCGGTGTTCAGCAGGAAATGCAGGTTTCTGCTGCCTGCACTGTACAGACCTGGTGCTCCTTCATTCTGAAAAGCTCACGGAGTAGCAGTGAGAACTGGGAGAGGATGATCAAGTGAAGAGGGCAGCAAGCTCTCCCCCCGCCTGTGGGGAGGACTGGGACTGGATGGCCAGGCTGGGATGACCATCCCACAGACCAGGGCAGGATGCCCCAGGTGGCCAGGGTGGGGTGACCACCCCAGAGGCACATTTCCAGCCAAAGCCATCACGGTGGTCCCAGACTCTGCAGGGCTCACAGCCCTATTTGTGAGCTGAGTGAAGGTCTCCCTCCAGGCAAGCCTTGAGAGATGTGTCACCATGGGCAGTAATTTGTGAATGTTGTGCAAAATGCACTGAATTGCCTAACGTGTGGGTCCCTCACTTGTGAAATAAATTCATAAACTGTATCTAACAAGACAAATATAATGAAGGCATCATAAAAAAAGAGGCAGCTCTGGTATAAATTCTTGCTGGTAGAGCTGTATGTCTGAAAGGTGGATTATAGAACTGCAGTTTGGAAGATTGAATGGCCCATAAACATTTTCATATTTCATTAGCCGATTAATGGACGGCTTTTTTCTTTTTGTGGAGGGGGGACATGACTTTGCTGATTCTAAGCAAAAATTGTAGGAAACAAATGAAAGCAGCTGATGAAACCTTTCCGGGGGCCTGTCCCATTATGGATTGTCCCAATTAATGCCCATGCTGCTCCCTGTCAAGATGCATTCTGCCTGTCCAGTTACTGTTAATAGATTTCTCATAAGTGGCTGGATTGTAAAAACCTCATAACTCAGTTTAATGCCACCAATAAAATTATCTCTGGACGTCTGGCCTGGATTCCAGTCAGCTCTTGGTCCTTGGGGAGCTGCTGTTTACCCTTTCTTTTCCTAATTCCAAACATTGTCTTAATTAAAAAATGAAGCAGCAGAGATTGCCTGCAAAGGCATCTTCCTCAGGGTCTGTTTTTAGTCCTGAACATGAGCTGATTTGTCACACTCTTTCGTGAAATTTTATCCAGGTGGGGCTCTGGGCCTGATGATGGGATGTTGTGACCCCTGTTGCCCTGCAACATAAACCCAGCAGAGGGGTGCAGCAAGTGTGTGAGCTCTCCAGCAGGGAGATTTGTCAGCACCACTGCCCAAATCATGGAGGGTGGCTGTGGCTGAGGCAAAGCAGGTGGATGAGGATGGACTTTGGGCAATTAAAGGGAAAAAACTGTTAAACTGTTGGTTGTGTAGAAGGGAGGGGATGCTGATGTTGCAGCTTGGGAGAGGTGATCCCATGCTGCCAGAATCCTGGGTCCTTGCCCAGAGGGAAGCCTCTTTCTTTGGAGTGCAGTTGAGTTGTCCTTTGTTTTTCCATCATCTCGTAACCTCTTATTAAAGGAGTTTGTCCCTTGGTTTGTAGTGGGGTTGGGCACTGGCAAAATCTGTAATCTGCAGAGCTGTAAAGACAGGCCTAAATTCCAATATATTGGGCCTTCATGTCAACCAACAGGAGTTGTCTGGTGGTGCTCTCTGTCACTGTCCAGTCCCACAAGAGCAGAGGGGCATCACACAGGGACCACGAGCATCTTGTGCAGGTGGCTGGGGCTGGGTACAAGCACATCCCCAGCCTGCTCCCACCCTCTCCCTCTTTCCCTGGCAGATCCACTCAGACTCGGACGAGGGAGACGGCTCCATCAAGTACACCATCTCCGGGGAGGGCGCGGGCACCATCTTCCTCATCGACGAGATCACAGGGGACATCCACGCCACCGAGCGCCTGGACCGGGAGCAGAAAACCTTCTACACACTGCGGGCACAGGCCCGGGACAGACAGACGGACCAGCTGCTGGAGCCCGAGTCAGAGTTCATCATCAAGGTGCAGGACATCAACGACAGCGAGCCGCGCTTCCTCGAGGGGCCCTACATCGGCAGCGTGGCCGAGCTGTCCCCCGTCGGTAGGTCTGCTCTGGGCTGGGAAAGCTGCACCTCTCTCCTGTCACACCTTTGAGCCCGCTGTACCCCACAAAAACCACTTGCAAATCTCAGGGATTGCAGAGCTAGGGAGCCAAAAGGGAAAAATAAATAAGGTGGCTTAAGAAAAACAAGTGGATAAATCCTCTGAGCTGATTGCCAGCCTTTGGCTGAGCGCTCAGTCTCAGCCCTAAGCCGTGCTCTGGGGATGGGGTCGTGGTGGTGCCAGCTGCCTGCTGTGCATTGACTCTGGCTTTGCACAGCCCCCTCTCTCCTGAATGCTGGGTGGTTGGACTAAACCCTCACAAATCAAGGGGCTCACAGGGTCTGCCTGTGCTTCAGATTGGTCTGAGTGGTGCCTCTCCCCCAGCTCAGGCCATCCTCTGTGTGCTGCCTTGCTGCTCTTCTGAGCCCCAGGGCTGCTCAGACATCATCCCTTTGAGCAGAACTGCCAGGCCCTTCTCAGCTGGGTCTGCCCTTCTCTGAGGGGCCAGGCCTTGCTGGCTGAGGCTGGGGAATTCGTGTCCCTGTGACAGAAGTGTGGCTTCCCTGTGTTAGCCTTTGCTGCCCATCCCCTTGGCAGCAGGCCCCTCTCAAGTGTGTTGGTGATCAGCCTCACTGAAGCTCTGAGGGCCAGGCTGATGATGATGGGGCTGCACGAGTCCATCCCCCTGGGATGGCAGAGCAGGACAGCCAGCACTGTGCCCACCCAAGCTTTGGGAAGGGTGCAGGGAGGTGATGTGTGAACTGCAGCACTGCTGCCCTCACTTCTGCTGGGTTCCCATGCTGCAGAGCACAGCTGGAGTCCAGGAGAGTGGCTGTGCTGCACTGCCTGAAGCCACAGCATTCCCTGTGCACCCTGGGCTCTCTGCTACCCCTACAGCAGGCTGTGTGTGTTGGCATGTGCTGTGAGCAGGAACTGTACATCGCTGTTCCCAAAGGCTGTGTGCAGGTAGCAGACAGCTTGTGGAAGGCTGGCGTTGAAGATCAGGCAGGACCCCAACACTCAGCAAGGGCTGAGTCAGCACAGGAGGCAGCAACAGTGCCAGGAGTGCAGAGAGCCCCCGGGGCAGGGGGACAGCTGAGAGCACCAGGGCTTGAGAGGCAGCTCAGGGGAACCACCAGGGCCTGCTGTGCTGCTGCAGGAAGGTCTGGTTGCAGAGGGCAGGGCATGGTGCTCAGTCTGCACTGCCTCAGGACAGAGCTCCAGCTCTCCATGGTTCATGTGTATTGCAAGGCTGGTGTGTGGCCTCCAGCAGGTACAGATGTGCAGGAATTGCACCAGAGGAGCTGCTGCTGCCTGGATTCTGTTCACGTATGCAGAACAAGTTCTCCTGAGGCATCCCAAGCTCTCCTTCTGCTTCCAGTTACCTGTGCAAATCCTTGCCTCAGTCAGAGAGTGACCCCTTGAACTACAGCTGGGTGCTCCTGGAGAAATGAAAGACAGCATGTGGGCACCAAAGCAAGAGGCATCCTGTTCCCAAAGGGAAGAAAGAAATTAAATTAATCTAATTTGCTTGAACAACATTTTAAAAAGCAAGGAATTCTCAACTCTGGGTATTAGACAAGGATCCCAGTTCTTTGAAAATCACTAACAATTATGGAGCTGCCTGATCAGACTGATGTGAACAAGACATATCAAAGGAGACAGTTTCTATGCGAAATTGGAGATCAGAGGGAGAAAGAAACACGGTTTCACAACATGAAAGAAGGCGATTCCTGCAAATTAAAACACTCGGAAGTTAAAAGTGAAGAGAAGTGTTGTGAAGGGCGTGGGCTGCATTTCCCAGCTGTGTGCTTAGAGAGGGGAGCTGGAGCCAGGAGCCTGCTCTGCTTTCCAGGCTACCTGCCTGCCACAGCCTCAGAGCCTCCTGCAGTCTGGCCACCCTGGGGAGTGCAGGGGCTCCTCCAGAGCAGCCTTGCCTGGAGACAGCCCAGGGAGGGCCTCACACATCATCCTCCCATGGTGCTGCTGCCTGGGCCCCAGCAGTGTGAGTGCAGAGCTGGAGGGACCCACAGGCTGCTGCTGCTGCTGTAAGTTCCCAGCTCCCTCCCACTTCTCCCCGGGCTTTGCCCAGGAACAGGCAGCACGAAGGACAAGATGGACACAGCCTGTGAAAGCATAAACAGGCAAGGCTGGCAAGGAGCTTTCTGCTCAACCCTCTGAGGTTCAGCAGCTGGGAGGTACATGAGGCTGGTCAAGGACCTGGTGTGAGAAGTTCAGCTCCAGATGCTGCAGGAAGGGCTGAGGATGCAGGATAGGGGAAGCTGCTGGGCCAGGGAGGTGAAGTTCAGGATATTCTTGTGGGAAGAGACCTGTCAGGCCCTTTTTGTGTGAGAGAGCTCCTTGTGTGGCACCAAGGCTGGGTGCAGCTGTGCTCATGGCTTTGTTGTGGTTGATATTGGTTATTGATATTTGCTGTCTCTGAGCTGCACAGAGCATCTCCCCTAGAGCTGTGGGGTATTTCCATGAGAGTGACTGGGGAGTGCCTTGCTGCCTTCCTGAGTGTGGATGGAGGTCATCCCAGCTGGGTGCTGGCCAAGCAGGAGGACAAAGGCTGCAGAACTTAGGTTGGCTATTAGTGTGTCAAGATCAAAGCCTGGAGACCTGCTGGTGGCCAAGCTGCTGCCAGCACCACTTGGATTCATCTGTAGTAGGTGAATGTAGTAAAAAGAAGGGTGATTGGGTGACTGGGATGGGGCCACTCCAAGGGCAGGGCTGCTCTCCAGCTTGGAGCTGCAGGGAGCTGCTCATTCCCTGTCTCTGCAGCTCTGCAGCCTTTGCTCTCCATCCCAGCCTGAAGAGTTAAGGGTGACCCCTTCTTCCTCCTCCCGTGGTTTTGCCTTCCCAGGCCTCACTAGGGTTTGTGCCTGGGTGGTTTTTGTTCTCAGTCAAGGCAGCTCTCAGCTGCACTCTCCATTCCCTGCCAAGAGCACAGTCCCAGCTCCCAGAGGTGGGTGCCTTCCTGGGGCGTGAAGAGGAATAAACCAAATACAGTCAGATCCGCTCTGTGACAGCAGGAGCAGATCAAAGGACATTATTTGCATAATGAAGGAGTACTAATTGGGAGGGAAAGTCATTTGATTTCCTAGTGTCTAAGAGGGAATAACAAATGAGAGAAGTGCACAAACTCTCAGAGTAACTGGGAGTGCTTTGCAGCACAGCTGCCCTTGCTCTGTGCTGGGGCCAGGGCAGTGTGTTTGTACTGAGACTGAGACTGGGGGTGCACTAAAGGCCTCTTTGTTCCAGGATCTTGCCTTGGCAGTGGTCAAAGTGCATTCTTAGGAAGGAGGAGCAGCACACACAGGACATGTGATGCTCCTCTTAATATTCTCCCAGCCAGCATCTGTTTTCAGCTTGGAAATTTCTTTGGCTGTGGGTGGTTTCTGGGAGTTCAGTCAGCTTTAGTATCTGTCTTCCATGAACTCATCCAGACTCATTGTAAACCTCTGCAGAGGGAAAAGAGAAAGGATTGCTGTTGTTATCTGATGGATCAATAGTGGCAGATGCAGAATGGTCAGGAGGATAAGGCATTTGTAAAGGGCAGAGGTGGTGCCTGGAGCTAGCCCCAGCCTGCGAGCCAGGCTGGAGAAGGCATTGTTTTCTACACAGGGATATCCTGCACTTGGAAGAAGCACATCCAAAATGGAAGCTCACCCAGTAGCTTTATCTGGCCTCCCTTGGTACAGCAGAACCAGCTCAAAAACCAGCAACTGGCTTTTCTGGAGAAACCTGGTCTGGCCTGGGGCATCAGGAGCGGTAGTGCAGCTGCTGTGGGAGGTTTGCAGCCTGGCAGGGAGGGCAGCTGGGTCTGTAGAGGGAGGGAGAGGTCTCTGCTCAGCCCCCAGAGGGAGCTGGGCTGGAGGCACTGCCCTGGAGTCACCCAGGCTGAGGAAGGCAGGGGCTCCTGGGGAGTATTTTCACTGACTGCCCTGTGCCCACAGTGTGCATACCAAGGAGCAGTGTGTGTGCAGGATGGGGCCTGAGCTGCAAATCCTGTTTACTGCTGTCCTGTCACCCCAGGGAGAGGCTGCTGGTCAAGAGCTTGCAGGCTGCTCCGTGCTGGCACCCCAGGCTCAGCCTCTGTGGATACCCCTGGCTGGATCTCTCCAAAACATCAGAGTTGAGCAGAATCCAGCACCAAAGGGAGAGACCTGCAGCTTCAGGAGAATGTAGGATGGGTCCCAGCCAACTGCCTTGGAACTGCAGCAGCTTCACCTTGTTACAGGAGGTGCTAAAATTAGCTGTATTTTGGGCTCCTTTCCTGATCTCCCTGGGGTCTGCTTAGCAGCTGTCTGCTGCACTGAGGCGTGAGCCCAAATCCAGCACACGGTGCCTCCTGTCAGACAACTCTGTTGGCTGCACAGGGTGGGTGTTGCAGCCCAGAGCTCACCTGTGGGGTGCTTGGGGAGCAGGCAGGGTCTGGAGTGAGGAGCATGCCAGGAGAGTCATATGCTTCCATCAGAGCATCACTCCTCCCTTGGTGCATTTCACTCTCATTTCTCTGTGTAGCACCATGTCCAGATTAGAGGCGATTTGGCTGTACAGACAGAAACTTGGGGTCAAGCCCTGACTCCAGCACAAAGCTGGCTGAATGCAGAAGTGATTATTGTGAAAAGAAATTGTTTAATCTCCATGCTGGAAGCAGAGAAAAACACTTTGTTTACCATACAGCCAGAACACTTGCAGGCAATCGGATTTCCCCCCACACCCCCCTTTGCTGGAAAGTGCTGAAGTCACTTGTGAGTGTCTGGAGCTGCTGGGAGCTGGGGCTGCCCTCTCTGTTTGTCCTTGGTGAGGGGAGTCCTTCCCCTTCTGCACTGTGCTCTAGGTCACAGGCTCCAAACGCTGCCCTGCCCAAGTGAGGATCTCATCAGGCTGCACTTGGCAGCCCCTCAGGCACCTGAGCCTCTCCATGGGATGCTGTGGTTTGCTCCCCATGGCACCACGTTTACCTGCTCCATGCCAGGGGCTGGGGTGCTTTGTGCAGTGCCTTTCTCTGGCCAGACACCCCAAAAGAAGTTTCACAGTAGCACACACCCCAGCAGGTTACTGCCCTGGGGCTTGTCCTGTGGGGTGACAGGGCTGTGCAGTGAATCTCCTCTGGGCCTGGCTTTCTACCAAGTCAGGATGTTGACAAGATTGCAAGAAACTCACTTCTGCTCCAGTAATTTTTAAGCTACTCCAGTTCTTTTTTTCCCTGGTGTCCTGCCTGAATGTGTCTGGGGTGCATCGGCCACTGCAGGTGTTTGGGGCCAGACAAAAGCTGTGAATTGCATTGTTTATAAACTCCCTCCTGCCCCATGGCACCCAGGCACCTGCAGCGGGAGTGCTGCACGCTGGCATCAGGCCAGGGCGTGTGGCTTTGCATGACACAGCACTCCCTGCAGGGTCCCCGATGTTCTGCAGGGCTGAAGTGCCCCAGTGCTGTCCTGGAGCTGACCAGATCCACACAGAAAGGGCTCTCAGCGTGGTCAGAAAGTGTCCCTGCTCTCTGCCTGAGCTGAAGGTGGCAACTGAGCCCCAGAGCTGGTCTGGAGAGCATCTGGAGGCTCTTGGTTTCGCCACAGAAGGGTGAATGCTGCCATGAGGAGGGACAGTCAAGTTTAGCAAGTGCTGGTTTTTCCTGCTGCTCATTTGCCTCTTTGCCTGCCCAGAGCCTGGCTGTGCTTCTGTCCCTGGGGAAGTGACAGGTCCCAGCCAGCTCCTTGTGGATTCAGTGCAGGGCCTCTCTGCTCGTGGATGTGTTTGGAGTTTGCCTGTCAACGTTTCTTTTAGCTGAACGTGTTTGCAGTGAGTGGCATAGCAAGTGGCCTGGAGCTCTCAGCCTCCTTCACGCAGGGATGGCCCCAGAGGCTCTGGGTGCCGTGGGAAGGCAGTCACAGGTGCCAGGACAGGCCTGCACTGCCATTCCAGAGGTGCCCTGCAGAGCCCATGCATCCCATGCAGGGCACTGGGCTGGGCTGCTGTGCCCTGCCAGCCCTGGGGACACTCAGCATGGCAGGGTGGCTCTGGGGGCTGCCCTCAGGGAAGGGACCCTGCAGAGACACAGCTCCTGCAGCTCCTGGGCTGTCACTGTGGTATTTTCTGAAAAATCCCTTCGCTGGGATTTCTTCTCCTGGGAAGATGAGAAGCCTCAGCTTCTCCATTTTTCCTGCTCTGGAATGTGGTCTGGAGATTGTTTATCCAAACATGTGAATTGTTTTTATTGAATGACCAATCACAGCCAGCTGTGTCGGACTCTCTGAGTCAGTCACGAGTTTTTATTATTCATTCTTGTTAAGCCTTCTGATGTATCCTTCTCTTTCTGCAGTATAGTTTTAGTATAGTATTCTATAATATAACATAATATAATTTCTCAACCTTCTGAGAACATGGAGTCAGATTCTCATCTCTCACCTCGTCCTGGGGCCCCTCAAACACCACAGTGGGGCATCACGGGCACCTCTGGGCGTGGGCAGCCCCTCCCTGCCCTGCTGACCCTGCTCACAGCAGGGAAGGGAAGCTGCTGGCAGAGCTCAGGGCTGGCTGCTGGCCCTGGCACGTCTCCAGGATGGCTCAGGGTGTGGCATGGGGACAGCCCAAGCAGGGCCCATGGGGACAGAGGATGGCTGGCAGCCACAGCCAGCTAGGCTGAGGGAAGTACTGCTCTGGAAGTGAGGGTCTGGAGGAAATCAGGGTTTGTTTGATCTGCTGTGCCAGAGCTCACCGTTGCAGAGGGAGAATTAGAGATTGATTCTGACCTGTTAATTTTTATGTAAGATTGTTGGTTTCCTCTGATCTGTGGAGTGAGCTTGTCGGGGGAGGAACCAAGGTCTTATCTCATTTTACATGTCTAATTATCTCTCTGGATATGGGCTCAGGCTCCTTGGGTATGGGAGGCGGGTGATAGAGTACATGATGGATGTTTAGATTTTATTTAGTGTATCTTTTATGGCTAAGGCATGTGCCAGAAAACTAAATAAAAGCTGTACATTCTGTACTTGCTGTGGGCAGTGCTGTGCTTGGAGAGCAGGGACTAATATTGGAGCAGGGTGGGAGCCAGGGAAAGCTTGTCTCTGCAGGAAGGAGGGGACCAGGTTAAGCTGAAATTGAATATCACTGCTCTTCACATGGAAAGGGAAGGGTGGGAAAGGGATAAATGGAGGTTAGGTAAGGATGCTGGAAAGTTAAACTGATAAATTCCTGATACCCTTTAGGTGACCTTGATCAGGCATCTTTGCAGACAGGAAGTCAAGACAAAGAGGGGTCAGTGCTCCCTACCTGGCTGATGTTGTTTTTTTGTTAATGAGATGCTGTGAGGGCAGGTGGGGAAGGGCAGAGCCTTCATCCCCTCTGGCATTGCTGGCTGCAGCCCAAGGGCACTGTGGCCCCTCTCTGCCTCTGAGTGAAGGTGTCTTGCTGCAATGCTGATTGGTTTCCCTTGCCCTTGAGCAGAAAACTCTGGCCCCAAACATGGGGCTCACCCCTGGGACCTGGAGCTGCTGCCCTGTTTTTCCAGTTCTTGGGAGTGCCCAGCAGCTGTGGGCCAGGAGCTTTCAGTGCTGGCACAGGAAGCCTGAGAGCAGCAGCCCACCTCACCTGTCCAAGGTGTGGCTTGGGATGGTGACACAACCTGCTCTGGGTGGGCACAGTCCTGCCTCCTCTTCAGACTCTGCAGCTTGGCAGCATCCAGGTAAACACTGGAACACAGGGAGTACAGCTGTGCCTGACAGGGATGGAGTAGGGGGTGAGTTCTGCAATTCAATGAATGCATCTTGAGATGCAGGGTGGTGCAAACATTTAGTGGCCAGCCTGCCCCTCATGATCCCTGCCTTGGGATGACTGCACAAACAGGGCTGGAACAGGAGGCTGTGGTGTGGTCCTTGGGGCACCTGCTCTGTCTGCAAATGTGCAGTCCTGACACAGGGTGTACAGGGCAAGGGCAGGGAAATAAACTGATGGGCTTGGGTCCTGTGGGTGAGGTTTGAATCTCCTAACCCTCGGCAGGAACAAGTGGCTCTTGGGGTTGGGGATGTTTGTGCAAGGTCAGCAGGCTCTGCCTGTGCTGCAGGTGCTACTGTGGGCACTGGGCTCTCAGCTGATTGCTGCCAGGCTGTGCCCTCCCTTGTTCCCTTGGGCAGACACTGCTTTCTGGGATTCTCAGACTTTGGCACCTCCAGCATCCCTAGGAGGCTTCTCCCCTGCAGCTGGGAGAAGGATGCTTGGAGACCCTGGTGTCATCTCCATCCTTGGTCCCTGTTTTTGCTTTCTGATCAGAAGCTTCCCAAGGGAGCACGCCAGGCTGCCCGGGGGAATGTGCAGAGCTGGTGTGGGAGTGATGTGCCTTGGCTCATACCTGCCTGAAGGAGCTGTGTTACGGCAGGGAGAGGAGGAGGAAATGCAGCAATAGTATTTCTTAAACAGTTGTTTGCCAGGCAGAGAGCCAGTGTTGCCGTGGTGTAAAATCTGGACGTGCCTGGCAGGGATGCACCATAACTTCACTGGAGACAGCAAAGCATAAATAAGTTGACTCAAACTAGCTTGTTGCTGAAGACTGATGAGGGGGATTCTCCTGTTATCAGCAGAGCTGCAGCTCTGAGAAGGCTGCCAGGGAGAATGAAAAGCAACCATGGTAACTGCTCGTTTCCCTCAGTGAGCACCCTTTCCAGGAGATCAGAGTGAACTGGACTGGGGGAGCCTGTGCATCCCAGCTGCTCACAGCAGCACTGTGCTGTGCTGCCTCATCTCCTGCCTGACTCTGGGCAGGGCTGGTGCAGGAAATCCCTGCAGGCTCTGGGCTTGGGGTCTGCTGACAAAGGAGGAGGAAGGCACCAGGGATGGTTTCAGCTCCACATCTGCCTCCTGTGACACAGGAACAGAGGCTGCTTTTGTGTGACTGCTCCAGTGCTTGACCTCTGGGCAGGGATGCACCGAGTCTGGTGCTGGAGATGGAACAGGGTAGCCTGTCCTCACAGTGCTTTGGTCACACCACCTCCTTCCTCAAGGTGTCTCTAGGTAGGGATAGGCTTCCCTTCCTTTCTCCCTTTTGTTGTCTCTCTGCATCTCAGCCCTTTTGCTCCTGCCCCCACCATCATGTCCTGGGTCCTGCTTTTGTTAAATTGAACATGATGTCAAATTAAAGCCATCACAGGGACAGTTGGAGTGAAGTACCCAGTTTAATGAGGCAGCCTTGAAAATCAATAACTTAATTGCAGACATTTGATGGACTTTTATCCAATTTATAGTCCTCCTGCCCTGCTACGTGTAGAGCATGAGGACCCGGTGCTATGTCTGGCCCTGGGCAAGTGAAAGCCTTTCCTCTCCTCAGGGTGCTGTCCCTGGGCAGCTCTGCCTGCTGCAGTGTGGATCAGGCCCCAGCTGGGTGGTCCCTCTGTGCTCTGGAGGTGACCATGTCACTCACTCTGTGCTGACAGGAAGGCCAGTATGACATCCCCAGATGGGCCAGTAGAAAGCTACTGGGAGAAAAGCTCCCAGCTGATCAGGCCAGTGATCTCCTGGAGAGAGCAGGTCCTGCTCCAGGGCCCTGTCCCTGCTGCCACTCTGCAGCACACCAGAGGCATTCACAGCAGTGTCTGCAATGTCTGGAGTCCTGGCTTTCAGGTGTTGGTGGGGAGGTGATGCTGCATTTGCACCCAGCTGTTCTCTTTCCCCTCATCATTTGCAAGCAATCAGCGTTGGGCCCTGCTCTGAGCTCTGTGCTGCTCTTCTAAACTCCTGCCTGACTTTCTGTTTTGCTCTTTGTCCCTGCTGCAGGCACCTCTGTGATGCAGGTGATGGCCTCTGATGCCGACGACCCCACCTATGGGAGCAGTGCCAGGGTGGTCTACAGTGTGCTGGAGGGGGAGCAGCACTTCACTGTGGACAGCAAAACAGGTGAGCAGCACCCAGCTGGGCTGGGCCACGAGATCCCACCGGGGCTGTGGCTCCTGGGCATGGCTGTCAGCCAGATCTGTGCCTCCCTGCTGGCCCCTGGTGCTGGATCCTGCTGGCAGGGGTGTTGGAGAGGAAGCTGCTGCCCAGCTCCATGCCCTGCCTGCAGCAGGATCTGCAGCTTCCTGCCCAGAGTGCCTGATCTGCACCTGCACTGGCCAGAGCTCCTCTCTGCCTGGAGCTGGAATGCCCCCACAGGCACATAAACCTTCAGTGGAGAAGGTTTAAATACTACCAAAGGGGCCTTACCAAAAGCTGCATCATTATCACCAGGGCTTTGATTAAAGGTAACACTTTAAATTAAGGATAGGTTTATAAATGTTCTATTAATATTTAATGAAAGAACAGTAGAAGCTGCTCCATTCCTTAATAACTTATAATAGAGCCTGTTGTAAAATGCCTCTGTAATAAATCCCTGGCAGATGATGCTCTGACATACTGGTTAGAGTAGACCATAACCAGGAGATGTTGGGATATATATTGTCCTTGCCTCCCAGGAGTTTGACTCTCATTACCCTTAATGAGAGCCTCACAAGCTTGCTAAGAAGGGAAGACTCAAATGCTAATAAGGGATATTTAAGGCACAAAGCATGCAGTAAAGTGCCCGTAGTTTAAGGAAAATTTGTCAAAGGACAAGCAGGCTGAGGAGCTGCAGCTTTTGTTGGAAAACTGGACAGCAAAGTCCTCCCCACCCTATTGCTGAACCACAGTGGCATGAGCTGGGCTGAAGTCCCAAGTCTCTGTAAGGCTGATCTGTGTGTGTGCTGATATTTTCTAAGGCTGGGATTTGTTTGGAGATGCTGCTGTAAGTGTGAAGAAGGTCTGTGTGCCTGAACCTCTGCACCTGCAAGAAACCCTCCAGCCCCTGACAGTGCTGTGGTGCACATGGGGAAGCTGGGCCCAGCCCTGGCTCTGCCACCAGCCTGGCTGCTGCTGGAGGAACGCTCAGATTTGGGGGTTTGGGAGCTCCTGCACACTCCTGACACTGTGGCCTCTGCTGGGAAATGCCTCTGTCTGGACTGAGGCTGGTGCAGGGGAGAGGGCACAAGCAGCAGGCTGGGGCTGTACCCACCCCTTGCTCAGGAGCTATTGCACCTGGGCTCTCTTCTCTGCCAGATTTGCTTTGTTTTATATTGTGTGTGTAGGAACAATAGGCTAACCACTGAAAATGCAGGTGCACGTGAGATCCTGTTAATGTGAGACAGCTTTGTGTGAGTGAAGTCTTGCTGCTGGAATGGAGAGGGACCACTGGGAGCCAACTGCACAAGCCAGGACGTGCAGAGGCTCAGCTTCCTGCCACATTAATGCTCTGTTTTAAGGCATAAACTAAAATGTGCCCTGTGGGACTGTGGTGAGAATTAATGTCACTCTGGGAATCCAGGCTTCTTGATTCCTTGACTTTTTGTGTCTTAATTCTCAAGCTGGCTGTTTCATACACTGGGGGGTTGATTTGCTGTTTTACTTGCTTGTGTTTCACAAAGGCAAAATTGCTGACAGTCTGCAGAAGACTCCAGCCCCTCTAGAGTATGTCTGCTGCAGGTTACCTGGCTGCTAACACAGGTGTTGGGGCTGACTCTGGGGGTCTCTGAGCTGCAGCAGGCCTGTGGCAGCTGCCTCACCAGCACTGCAGGGCTGCAGCTCTGCCCATCAGCCCCTCAAGCTGTGGCTGCAGCAGTGCTGTGGGGGCACAAGGTGTCATCACATCCACCCAAGCACACCCCAACCTGCTCCCACTCTCATTCTGTTGGAACAAGACTTTATGCTGCACAGGGGAATCCAAGTCTGATTGCCCGAGGTGGCCCAGCTCCTGCCCTGAGCATAAGATTTAATTATCCATAGCAGCAGCGTAGCTCTCAGAGCCACCATTGTTATTAATGGCCATAAAAAGAACCATAAAAACTTGGCATGTTACATTTCTTATAATATATGATAATGAAGAACAATTTGATTTCCATTTTTGGTTTTGACCTCTTTCTCTGCTGTTTCTTGCAGGTGCATGCATGCATGTGCTGCCTTGCACACCTCCTCAGCCCCTGACTCCTTCCAGCACAGGTTCTCTCTTCCCCCCTTGTCTTGTGCTCTTTTCACACCCTCATTCATAGCACAGGTGTGGCATGTACAAAAGTGGTTTCCATGCCTGTGTACATGAACATGGACCATATGTTGCTGACTTTTTCTCCTGTTCATGGATGTTTCCAGCTGTAGTGTTCAGCTGGGATTTTGTATTCAATGGACCTTTCACAGGAAACCCAAACTGTCTGGCTGCTGTGCTGTGCCAAGTCCTGCCACTCAGTAAGCCCTGAGTGCCTGTAGCATCTCGGGTCTCTTTGGAGGGAGAAAAGCATCTAAATGGCTCCACTGGAATAGTGGGAGCAGCAGGATGGCATTTATGCTGTAGGAAGATTCCAGAATTGAATGATGGTGAAGAGAAAGCACAGCTGATGCACATAAGCTTTTCTTTCTTTCATATACAGCAGCCACTCTCATGCTTTGAGATTAGTTTCACAGACTGAAACTTGTGTTGTGTACACCAAATCAGGTTCAAGAACTTCACCTGTGTGTGCTGGAGGTCAATGCTGGGGTTTTTTTTGTGTGTGTGGGGAGCTTTATATGCATAAGCTTTTGAGGCAAGGTTTTCTTGCCAGCTGTAAGAATATCCCTGTGGCTTGTTGCAAGAGCCTGCAGGCATTAAGCTTTGTAAGCTTTGTGCTGCTTTCCTCTCTCAGACAGGGTGCAGGCAATCTTTGCTCCTTGCAGCAGGTGAGCAGCAGTGCCCGTGCTGTGGCTGCCCTGATCTGCTCAGGAGGCTGTGCTCTCTCAGCAGCCAGCACACAGCTCTGCCTGCTGCTTCCAGTGGGAAACAGCCTCTTCTGCTGCTGTGCTGGGTGTTGGCTCTGGGTGAGAGCAATAACCTGACAGCAGAATCCCCCTCACTGCTGCTGGGCCACGAGCCCAGCTCTCCCAAAGTTACACAGGGTGGGAGGCTTGGTGGCAGCTCCTGTTCCAGCTCCAGGAATCTCATCCTCACCAAGATCTTTCAAGCTTATTCTTTTCCAATATGGAGACGTCCACCTGAGTGTGGGCACTCTGAGAGCATTTACATGAGAGGAGAAATTTGTGCATTTGAATCCACGGGCTGCTGCTTTATATCACCCTGCATTCTCTGTACCACTGCAGATTATTCACCTTTATAGGGGCAAATCTCTCTTTTGGCAGGCAGCTGTGCCTGCCTGCTCGTGTCTGTTCCCATGTGCTCTGCAGTGCCCTTTCTTATCCCTGGCAGTGTGGCTGGAGATTCACTGCTGCCTGTGATGCCTTCCTTGGGAGGGAGCCTGAAGCTGCTCAACACCCCACAGCCTGCTCCCCCTGTTTCCAGCAGTCTTGTTCATCCTTTTGTAGGGATATTGAGTGCTACAGAGCAACCACAGCATGGAACACCATAGGTTTCATTATGTTTGCTTCCCTAAAAGCCAGCTTGTCAGTTTGGGGCTGTGCATGGGAGCCTGGCTTTTTACCGTAAGGAAGAGGTTGTTCTTCAAATCTGTCGCTCTGCTGAATGCAGGGAAAAGGCAGAACTCAGAAGGTATTTGAAATGTAGTCTGGCATTTGTGATGACTTAAACCAGCTCCTGAGTTTTAGAGTCTGTGTCCTGATTTAAAGACTGAGCCATAAGGGCTTGGAGCTTTTTGTGCCAGGGAGGATGGAGATACTGGTCTGCTGGGATGAAGCTGATGGTTATTTGCGTGCAGTTCTCAGTTTTTTCACCCCTAGCTGCCAGCCTTGCTGTGTTTGGAGACAGACCTGCCTGGTTCTGGGGCAGTAAGGCTGGGCTGGGAGAGGAGCTGGGGCTGGGAGCCTGCTGCACACTGAGCTGTTGGTCTGTGTGATGTGGGGGTGGGAGGCAGAACACGTTTCTCTGCTGCTCTTGCCAGTTTGTTAAAAATGCTCCTTGGTGCCTGGAAACACAGATGTGTGTTCTGTGTGCCCAGAGATTGTGCAGGTCTGTGCCCCATCCCTGTCCCTTATCCACCAGAGCTGTGCACAGGCACAAGGGACTCTGAGTGTAAGGCACAAGAGTCTGCAGAGAAGCCACATCTGTTTAAGGGGATTCCTCTTGTTAGCAAGATTGAACATTAACAGCCCTTTTCTGAGACTGGTGCAAGAACTTCAGCTGATTTGGGACCAAATTGTATGTTTGGTCATCTTGAGGAAATTAGAGTGTATCTACTAATGTGCTGAGGGAATTAATGTTAAGTGATGAGGGACTTAGCTGCTAAAAGAAGGGACAAAGAAAGGGTGAGTGTGCTGGCTCTGCACTGGCATGAGCAAGGCTGATTGCAGCCTGGAACAAGCCCTTGTTAGGTGCTTCATGAACCTCCTGACCCTTTGTGCCTCGTACTTCACTCAGAGCACCTTTAGCTTCTGCCTCTCAAATTGTGCTGAGCTGAAGGACAGGATGGGGGCTGGAGGGAGACTGAAGTGCTGGTTCTTGGAGCCAAGACCTCTTCTGCAAAGGCTGACCTCCTCCAGGATGTGTGCTTCCAGCAGGACTCGTGTCTTGGCAGATGTATTGGTATTTCTGTGTCCCTGCAGGCAGGTGAGGGCACAGGTGAGGAATCTGCAGTCAGTTTGGCAGTGCCTTGCCATTCCTGGCCTGAGGCAGAGATGGTTTGATCTAACTGACCAGGCTGCTGGCAGAAATTAATCTGCTTTATCCAGCTAAATAGGAGAGGGATAGAGGAGACAGACCTAGATTCTTCTCAGGCATGCACACTAAAGAGACCCAAATGGCAGGAAGACAAGGCTTGTCACCATGATGGTGGCACTTCCATCCCTGCAGATACTAAAACCTTGACTCTTTATGGCCCAGAGGTAATCTCATCTGCCTTTGAGCACTGCCTGCTTTGAGCTGTGATGGATCAGGAACCTCCTCAGGATAGGTCCCTGTTTGTTACTCCCTGACTTTCTGGCTTGTTGATCCTCCTGCCCTCAGCTGGAAGGTGCCTTGTCCAGGCAATCCCTGAGGATGTGGACATCTGACCTAGAGGTACCTGAGAGCAGAGCAAAGCCCATAATGATGGGATTCCTGGAAGGCAGTTACCTGCTGAGTGCTTTGTCCTGCTTTGTTTTTGTCACCCGAAGAGAGTGTGCTGTTGGAGCAGATTCAGTGGTATTTATGTGATGCTCTAAGTGTCCCCTTTCCTGGTAATTATACTGATTAATCTGGATCATGCTGGAAAGCCACATGTGCCTTGTACCAGAGGGTATGCCACCACGTGTCCACATTATTCAGCTCTAACAGATAGTGACAAGAATGGGGGAGACAACTCTGAGCTCGAGGTTGTTCTTGCTTTGTTAGCAGTGTCTGGGAAAGACAAAGTTTGTCAGTTTTTCCGGCTGGAAAGAAGGTGAATCTTGGGAGATGATAGCAATGGCTTTTCTGTGCTCTCTGTACAGCCTTGAGGAAGGAAGGTCTGTCTCCATCCCTTGCAGCTTCTTTGCAGAGTCCCTGGGGGTCAGGTTTTGGGAGCAGAGACTGTCTTGGCTCTGGAGGATGGGACCATGTGGGTTTGCTGCTGGTGGGTGTTTGAGGCAGTGCCCTTAGTGCCACATGGATGTGGAGCACGTGTGGAGACCCTGATCTGCCACAGCCATTAGCAAATGGTGAGTGGTACCTCAGCCTAGGAGGCAAAGCCAGCCTGACTCTGGGGCTGGTGGCCTGATGTGGCCCATGCCATTTGGGAATAGCATCCCAGTGACAGTCCTGATGGGCTCCTGGAGGTCTGGCAGTTTGTCTGCAGCAGATCCCCACCTTTCCAGGATGGACTGGGCACACAACACCATGAGAGGGAGCTTCTGATCAGTCTCCACCCCTGCCACAGGCAGAGATTTTGTCTGCCTTGTGCTGCTGGAGGAACAGGAGCTGGCTGGGGACATTGGCCCTTCTCTGCATGTGCCAAACAGCCTGGACTTGCTCCCCGTTGGGATGAGTGACCTTGGAGGTGTTCTGGGAAGTGCCTGAGCACTTTCCTCCCATGCTGCATGGCGTATTATGAGCTATATCATTACGAGCAGCTCAGTTAAGTCATTACAGCCTTGGTGAATGCATGAGCTTTTTCCCTCTCATCCCAATTCATCACTATTGTGCTGACATGAATCATTTTCATTATAAAATGCTTCAGACCCCGTTAATTAACAGAATTGCTTAAATTTCAATGAGACAGTGCTTGCCCAGAAATAACAGTTTTGTATTCACAGTGGGGTGGCAGGGGAGGCCTGTCAGCACCAGCAGCTGGGGCTGGCCCCTGAGCCCTGGGGCTCTGTGCAGGGCTGGCCCACTGGGAGGGTGCCATCCTTGCTGGGATGGGTCCTTGCCTCGTTTCCTGCATCCCCTCTGCCTCTGTGTGTGAGGGGGAGAGGGACTCCCTGCTGAACGGCTTCCTCTGAGCAGAGCAGGTGCATGAGGGGGTCAGAGCACACCCTGAGCCCCATCACAGGATAATCACGTGCTCCCTTATCTATGGGGCTGAAGGCAGGAGGGTCCAGGTAATTTCAGAACCTGAAGTGACAGAGGGACAAGGGGGGCTGGATGATAATTGTGCCTATCCTGGGTTCACTCACTCATAAACCACTGATCTGCGTTTTTCAATTGGGGCTACCTTGGAGCAAAACAAAACCTCCAAAATTAGACCATACCTCTAGACTGAGAACAACCCCTCAAGGTGCTGATAGCATCCAGACCCAATAGAATTGATCAATGGACCAAGCTACCCCAGGGATAACAGCACAGTCTCCTCTGAGAGTGCGTATTGATGAGGAGGTTTCCGACCTCGATGCTGGGTCAGGACATCCTTGTGGTGCAGCCACTACTAAGGGTTTGTTTCTTCAATGATTAACAGTCCTACCTGATCTGAGTTCAGACCTGCTCCCTTATCTATGGGGCTGAAGGCAGGAGAGTCCAGGTAATTAGAGAACCTGAAGTGACAGAGGGACAAGGGAAGCTGGGTGATAATTGTGCCTATCCATGAGAGCTGGAGAATGGCAACGATCTGAAATGATGGTTATGTCTTTATAATAAATCCTAACAATGCTAATCCTTGCAATAATTGCTAGTTTCACAAAGGAAGGAGTGATAAATGTCTCCTGAACAGTTTTGCCAGCTCCTGCTGCACCTGTAATGTCATGCAAAGGGCGAGGGGGAGAAATTTCATCCTCCCAGCTCAGTGGCATTTCTGGCTGCCCTTGGGCCACAGCACCAGTGGCTCCATGGTGTGAGCCCTGGTCTGGAGGTGCACAAGGCCACAGCAGACCCATGAATGGGGAAATTGGAAACCTGCTGGCTGTGGACTGAAGATATCTGGTAGCCTTGGGGTCTGTCCCTGTAGCCATACCTTGGCTCCTTGCAGCCTGCTGGAACTCAGCTCCCCCTCTGCTGTGCTCTTGGTGACTTGGACCTTTGATGCTCTAGCGCTGCTCCTTGTGCTGCACATCAGCAGATGGATTGCAAGGGGCTCAGATCACTGGATGGTTCTCTGCTGTTTGCTCAGCAGGAGGGGAGCTCCCTGTTCCCCCTGGGTCAGACCCCTCACTGGGGACCAGCAGCCTCCTCCAGCCTAGCACCAGGCAGGATTACTGGTGAAACAAAGCAGAGATGAATTTGCAGTTCACAGTAGGAGGAGGTAAAGCTGATAGTTAAACAGAAAACGCTGGAAGAGAGAGGATTTACAAAAACACAAAGCAATGTCTAAATCTGTGGGAATGTTAAAAAACTGAGCTGGAGGGGATTTTAAGTTGATTCCTGTCTGTTATGGGCTGCTGCTGGTACACTGGGACTGGAATGTGGTGTTAATGACCTTGTATCCATGTAGGCTCTCCTTCCTTCCTGACCCTGGTGCCACTTCAGGCCAGTCTTTTCTTTCTTTCTTTCATCCTCAAAATTTTTTTCCCTACTTTGTTTCCATTTAAATGAAACAGTCGTGGGTGACTTATAATTTCTGCCATGCACAGAGTTTTCAGGCTTTTACTGCTCTTTGTTTCTTGCTTTACATTCCTTTAAATTTTAGTCCTGGTCATTTCCCCAATCCCAGATGAATACTGGAGACCTACAAACACAGGTTTTAAGAGAGTTACTTTTGTAAGAAGTACTACCACACCATTCATTTTGTTAAGCTCCAGTGCATTCTCTGACACAGAGCATGTGTTTTGTTGTCTCTGGTCTCCTTAACTTAGAAGGACACTTGTAAATAAGGGGTTTTGTGCAGACAGACTCTTAGAAATGTGCTGCCCACACGTCCATTCTCCAAATCACACAATTCCCCCCAAGATGTGCCCAGGCCATGGCACTTTGTAGATGGAGCCTGGGCAGGGGCACCCCCTTGTTCTCTAAGGGGTGCTGCAGCAAGCCTGGCTCCTGCTCAGCAGATCAGGACAAGTGGGCTGTTGCAGATGTGTGCCAGAGGGATTTTGTGACTCAGCCTGGGTTTTTACAGAGCAGACCTCGAGGCTGGCCCCAGCACAGCCCCCGCATTTGGGTGGGAGTGAGGATGAGTCCTCTCTTCCTGTGGCTCCTGCCCCCTCTGACCTCCACAGATCTTTCACCCAGCTCCCAGTCACCCTGGAGGAAAAGCACAAACCTCCTCTGTGCCAGGGTTTTACCCAGTGGGAGCTTAAGTAGCCCACAGGAAAAGCAGCAGTTGGACTCTTTCACGCTTCATGAGGAGACTTGCTGGGAGCAGGTTGAGCCTGTGGTCATCCCTGGGCTTCAGGAGGATTTTTGGGATGTTTCTGGCTGGCTGACAGCCTCCTGGGCTTGTTCTTCTCCCCCTCAGTGCCCTTCTCTCCCCTTAGTTGGCTTTTGCTGACATGATCTCTTGCAGAGGGGTTCAGCAGACACTGGTTGTGGCCAGCAGTGTGTTCCTGCAGCAGAGCTGGCCAGCAGCACCAGGGCTGTGGTTGGGGACAGTGTCCCAGCAGTGAAGGGAGGTGACAGTGCCTTCTTCTGTGCACTGGTGAGCGGCAGGTGCTGTACCTGACACCAGATATGATTCTGTGGGATACCAGAGCGAGCCCAGGGAAGGGCTGTGAAGGTCGGTGCAATCCTGGAGCATCTGCCCCGTGTGGAGAGGGAGATCCAGCTGATCCTGTTTAGGTCTGGATCTTGTCCAAAGCAATCTCCAGTGAGCCCTTCCAGCCGCAGGCTGTGTGTGGCTCTGTGACCTGCCCTGTGAGAGCTCAGTGCTCAGCTGTGCTGCTGTTTGCAGGTGTGATCCGCACGGCCGTGGCAGACCTGGACCGCGAGACGCAGGACCGCTACGAGGTGGTGATCCGTGCCACAGACATGGCAGGACAGCTGGGGGGGCTCTCTGGGTCCACCACGGTCACCATCGTGGTCACTGATGTCAACGACAACCCGCCACGCTTCCCTCAGAGTGAGTGCTGCTGGCCTGGGCGGGCACTGGGGCATGTCCTGGTTCCTCTGGGTGCTGGGATGGAACCTGCAGGCTCAGCCAGCCTGGCCACTCCAGGGTGACAATGACAAGGGACCATGGCACACACGGCTCCTGGGTCTGAATGTGTCCCTCCCTGCCTGGCAGCACAGCGGGTGCCAGATCCCCGGCCCAGTGCAGGGCCTGGAAGCACACATGGCTTACATGGTGGGAGAGCAGGGCCAGCCCTTTCCTGAGCCCTTCCAAGCAGCTGGAAGCCAGCAAGGTCCACCGTGCTGCTGTCCCCTGGGAGCTGGGGCCAGAACTTGGCTGCTGGCCTGGCCCCTCCTGGCTGCTGTGTGAGGCCTTGTCACACCCTTGCCCCAGAGCGAGGACAGTGACGCTGCTCAGGGGCGGCAGCCTTGTCACAGCACAGCTCTGTTTCCCAGCCTGCTGCCAGGGGCCTGTGGCTGGTGCTGGTGTCTGATCTGGACCCTCCCCAGGCAAGGTGCAGGGTGATCCTGCTGTGAGGAGTGGGCTGTGAGGGCTCTGCAGTGCTCTCTAGCAGCTCAAGGCTGGCAGGCCAGGGAAGGGGCTGCAGCTGGGGGAGGCTCAGCTCTTGGGCTGCATCTCCCAGAAATCAGAAATTGCAAAAGAATCTTTGCAAGGAATCAGAGAGCGCTGATTGCGGGGCAGTGTCCGTGCAGAGAAATCAGCCCTTACTTCACACAGCGCCTGGAATGTCAGTGCTCCCCAGTTATCTTCCCTCAGCCCTTGTTTTTGGCTGTATTTACTGCTCCTGTTGGGGCATTCTGGACTGTGGACACGGTGGGGTTTGAGCAACCCTCACAGCCCAAAGGTGCCTCAGGGAAGTGTGTGAAGGGTGGGGGCAGTTCAAAGGCAGAAGCAGTGACCTTGGTGCCCGTTTCTCCTGCAGAGATGTATCAGTTCAGCATTGTGGAGACGGCCCCCGTGGGCACTGCCATCGGGAGGGTGAAGGCAGAGGACTCTGACGTCGGGGAGAACACGGACATGACATACCAAGTGAAGGATGAGGAAGGGGTGGAGATGTTCAAAGTCACCACGGACAGCAATACCCAAGAGGCTGTCATCACAGTGCAGAAGGTGAGAGTGTTGATTGACTAGGGAGGGCACAGCTCCCTGGGAGGACCCTTTCCTTTGGGGACTGCTGCTGTTGAATCTGAGTTGAAGAAAATGCTCTGAGTGCTGCTCTAGCAGTAGCAGTTGCGTTTTTGTGCCTGCTGATGCAGGGAGAGACCTGTCTTTGCTCCGCCTGCATGGCAAAGCACAGGGCTGTGTCTGGGAGCAAATGCAGAAAAGGAGCAGCACAGAGTGCCTGCTGGAGTCCCCCAGGGTGGCTTGGGGGTGGCAGTGAAGCAGTGAGCTGTGCAGAGGAGACACCATGCATAGGACTACAGAGAGGAATGCTTACAGCTGTTATTGATAGCACCTGTTAGAAGAGAAAAATGCCTACCTAATTCCTGTACCTGACCAGCAGCACTTTAACTGTATCTGCTTTTGGTGGCAAAAACAATCAAGCAAATACTTGGTGCAGGCAGGAAAGAATGATTGTTCTTCAAGGCCACTGTATGCAGCTGGCCTCCCCTGTAGAAATAAGAGCAGGGTGATTAATGATGAAAACTCGCTCATGTGCAGCACACACTGTGCTGTCTTCCCAGTGAATCCTGGCTGCTCACAGATTGGGCACCCTGTTGGGGGCCCTGAGGGGAGTGGGATGGAGGTTTCTGCTTCCTCCTGCCCCCTTGGTGTGAGTGCTGCTGGCAGAAGGGCAAAGCAGAAGCCCCCAGGTTTGGGAGCAGGTGACTTTAGTGGCTCTAGTGCTGCCCTGATGTCTCTGGTGAAGGAAGGGGCAGCAGAGGGGCTCCTTGGGCTGGCTGTGGCTTACCCTCTTCCCTTCCCTCTTCCCCAGCCTCTTGACTACGAGTCAAAAAAAGTGCACACTGTGGTGGTGGAGGCCCTCAACAAGTTCGTGGACCCGCGGTTCGTGGACCTGGGCACCTTTCGGGACCAGACCATCGTGAGGGTCTCAGTGCTGGACGTGGATGAGCCCCCCGAGTTCCGGCCCCCCTCCAACCTGCTGGAGGTGCAGGAGGATGCACACGTGGGCTCTGTCGTGGGGGTGGTCACTGCCCTGGACCCGGACACAGCGAACCACCCCGTCCGGTAACGCGCCGTCCCACCCTCACTCAGCCAGTCCAGCCGTGGGCATGGGGACACCTGCAAGGGACACCCGGCCTGGGAGGACTCGTGGCTGGGGCAGAGGGGGTGGGAGAGGGCAGGTGAAAGTGGAAAGTGCTGCGTGTGTGGCCCAGTGTGTGTGTTTCTGTGGGACAGGCAGCTGGCAGGTGAGTGGCAGCCCGTGCACAAGCAGGCACAGCGGTGTCTCAGGTGGCAGATACGTCACTGACAGGTGACAGCTTTGTGAGTTCAAGGGAGTGCCAGGGAAGGTGGCTGGGTGATAACTGTGTGTCCTTGCTGCTGACAGCAAGGTATCTGCAGTGGTACCTGACGCCAGGAGTGGCGGGAGGACGGTGGTGAAGGGTGAGAAATGAGGTGAGGCTTGGGAGGTGCAGAGCTGCAGCCCAGCTCTGTGTGCGTGCATGTGTGCATAGGATCAAAGATCAGAGGAGTTTATATTTGGGCAGGGGACATAATCCAGGCAGCAGCTTATCTGCACAGGACATTTCCCATTTCCATTTAATTTGTGGCTAAAGAGATTGTTACCTTGTTAAATTGTTATTACCTAAGGCACAAAGCAGCCTTCTGGCCCTGCCAACTGGCCTGAGTCACGAGCAGTTGGGTTGGAAATCTGGTGTTCAGAAAACATCCTCAACGTGTGGAAAATTTCCTTGAAATGTGTGTTCTGGTGCCAGGTGCCGGCGGGGCCGCTCACTTCCAGGGAGCAGCACTGGCTGTGACTGAGAGCTCTGCAGGGAGCCAGCCCTGCAGCAAGGGACTGGGAGGGACAGGGATGGGGATGTGGGGTGGAGGGGCACAGGCCACCGAGGGCTCAGTTGCAGCACCTGGTTGCATTCAGTGATGTCCCCCAGTGCCTGTTTGGGGCACTGAGCTCGGTGCTGTGCAGCCGTGGGTTTCTGTTTCGTGGTGGGGTGAGGAGGATCTCCTGATCCTCATGCAAACAAAGACTATGATGATTAGAAAACTCAGAAATGCATTTACACATGGAAAGCTGCCATCTACAGATGCCTGGCAGCAAGCAGAGAGTACTGTGTCACAAAGCTGGATGCTCAAAGTTGACTTTGAGGGAAATGTGGCTGAAATCAGCCTTGGTGTGCCAGGAACTGTGTATGTGAGTGCTGCACCACTTGCACTAGTGCCTGCTGAGTGCTGAATGTGTTCTCAACATACCTCTGCTCACCTCATCCTGTGACTCTCCAGTCCCTCTCCAGTCAGGCTATGTGTCTGATTTCTTCTTTTATTGCCCCTGAGCATGTGTCTGTCAGCACACACCCTGCAGGAGAGTGGTGTGTCCACATACCTGTGTGTGTGCACATGTGCATGTGCTTTTTCACTTGACTGTTCCTAGCAGTGCTGCAGAACATAGATTTTACTTTCTGATCTGTAATTGTAGAAAAGGGACCTTGGGAACAGAACTATTCTTATTCTTGCTTTTTCTTGTTCTTTGTGTTGCTTCCCTGTGGAGCTTGCTGCATTGTTTGCAGACAGACCAAAAGAAAGCAGTGAAGGGAAGCTCTTAATGCTGTACAGAAGGCACTGGAGACTTGGACCAGAGAGAAGCAGATTCAAGTACTGGGCAGGAATGAGATGGTGAGAGCCCAAACTTCACTTTGGGAGTCTCTCCTGCAGTGAGCTCAGTGCTGGCAAGGCAATGCCTCGTGCTCAGACACAAGGACCCAGCCAACAGGACTCCCAGGCATCTGCTGCAGCTTGGGAATTGCCATGTGTTTTCCCTTGTCAGGGCTGATGCATTCAAATTCGTGTCCTGCCTCTAGCTATCCCCAGGCAGGTGGCTCATCCTGTGTCCCCCATGCTGCCCTGTGGGACTTGGTCCATCCCTTCACTGCCTGGTGCTGCAGTCCCTGCTGTCACGAGCAGTGGCAGTGCAGCAGGGTGAGCCTTCACAGACATTTAACATGTACCAAGCAGAGCTGCAGGTTGCTGTTGGTCGTGCTGATGCAGCACCAATGCAAGAGGAAGGTAGAGTTGGATCTCTCCTGCTTCCCTGTCCTCTGGCTAGCCAGGTAATTTAATAAAATACTTTGCTGCGTAGGCAGCTGTTAACAGCTTCAAAGCAGCGCACAGACATTAATGCCAGCACCCTGCAGCACCAGGATGTGACACCAACCCGTCAGCAGGAGAGGCACTAAGTCCCCTCTCGTTTCAAGTGTGCTGCTCAGAAGTTCAGTCACAAGAAGCCAGCACTTGTACTTCACCTCTGATACATTAGAGAGCACCTGGTCCTGACGGCATGACCAGCATTTGATCCTCGCTGCCTTGAAGCTGGTATGAGCCCTTTGAAGATGCTGCACTTCAGTGGATCCCTTTAACTTCCTGCTCCTCATCTGCCTCCTGCTCCATCTGGGAGCAGAGGCAGGGCTGTGCTCCTGCAGGGGCTGCTCTCCGGACTCGGGTCTGTGTGTTGGCTCTGCCTGTGAACAGGGGACAGCCACCACTTGTGTCACATCGAGATGCACTCTCCCCTTGAGGCAGGAAAGAACAAGGATTGCCAGAGACAGCAGAGCAGAAATCAGCTCCGTCAGGGTTTCCAGGTCCTGCTGACACCAGGCTGCCAGTAACGAGGTTTAGGAGGTATTTTTAGCCAAACGGGAAGGGAGGTGCCCTTGGCTTTTTGTTTTCAGCCCCAGGCCAGCAGGAACAAGGCTGTGCAACCCTGCTGCACTGCCCAAAGCAACTGCTAGAGGCACATTCCAGCCTGATGTTCCCCTGCCTTCCTGGTGATCCACAGGATGCAGCGACTTGGTTTGAGAACAAATCCCTTCCCACAAGCTGCACTGGGTCTCAGTGACCTGTCACAAAGATGTGAGGATTGAAGGAGTGTCCCTGAGGCACCTCCTCGCTGCCTCACTCCAGCTGCACAGAGCTCACTCTGCTGTCTGCAGAGCCCCTGGCAGCTGCTTGCCTTGGCTGTGAGGAGGCACCTGGAGATCAGCCCATCTCTCAGAGAAGGGCACCCTCCCAGTGACCCCCGTGCCTGAGCAGGGAGCTGTGCTGAGCTCAGCATGGCCAAGCAGCTCTATGAGCCCTCTGTGGGGCACAAAACGTTCTGTGGTACCAGTGTGGGCAATGCCCTCCTAAAGGTCCAGTTCTTTTTATTTTATTCCATCCTTGGGTTTTTTGCCTATCAAAGGCTGGAACTGTTTCTTTTCAGAAAAAAAAAAAAATTGTTTCCATTTGGCTTTTTGGCTTTAGCTGTGTGTTTTCTGGGCGTAGTGCAGTTTTTCTCAGCTGAGCCATTGTATGAAGTAATACAGTGATAGACTGTCTGTGTGTGTGAAGCTGTTTGTATGGGAGCCTTTTGTTTCTCTCTCTGCAGTGGGAGCCTGTGCTCTGATTGTGTGCATTCCAGGCTTTATCAGCACTGGGAAGATGTTGCTTGGGATTTAAGGTTCTCAGAGATATTCTTGTTTGGCATTCACAAAATCTGGAGACACGTGTTGGACATGGGCATTTTATAGACTCCAACAGCACAGCAAGAACTACAACCTGCTTCAATACAAAAGGGAGAGGAGGAAAAAACAAACACAACAAAAAGCTTTTCATACACTGTTTGAAAAGCTCCCTATTAACAAAACACATGGCATAAAATGTGCTTCTTGTTGTGTTCAGGGGAAAAGTGAAACAAACTGCTTGAGAAACGGATTCATGGGAAAGATGAGCACGGGGAAAGCTGTGGAAATTAAACAGTCACTTGTAACATCCAGACCAACAGGCAGTGCCAGCAAGAAGAGAGGGAAATGGAGTACAAGGTCTGCATCCCAATCAGAGCTGGGGACTGCAGCTCCAGAGCACCAGCCAGCTGCAGAGAGATGAGCATAGGTCCTGTCTCTGAGTACCTGGAGGAGAAGGGATTAAATGCTGCCTCTTCCCAGGTGAGAAGCACTGTTAGACTGCTGTGAGAAGGGTGAATATGAAGCTGGAGTAGAGGTGGAGAGGCTGGTGGTGAAGGTTGTGTTGCACAAATGATGTGAGCAAGCAAAGCACTGCTCACTCCAGCGTGGGATGAGGTGGAAGCTGTTGGAAGGTGAGCTCTGCTGTGAGATCTGCAGCTCTGAGCAGCTTCTCTCAGGGCTTGATGTTCATCCCTGTGCCACCCTCCCAGTCCCCAGCTCCCACAGCAGCCCAGCACTCCAGAGCATCCGTGGCCTTTGGGAGCTGCAGACCCAGCTGGACTGGCCACCTCCCCAGTCACAGTGAGTGGCAGCAGAGTCAGTCCTGTCAAGGCAGTGTGCTGAGCTCTGTCTCCTTCCCTGGGGAATGCTGAGAAGGTGACATTTCTCTGTGGCAGTGGTGCCAAAGGGATCAGAGCTGTGGTTTGGTTTGTGCCTGGCCATGGGGTACAGGCAGCATGTCCCAAACAAACCATTCAGAAGGGACAAGACATCCTCAGCAGCAAAGCTATGAGAAGCATAAGAACAGGATCCAGTGCATTACCCTGAACACTCCCTGCCATCCTCCTGCCCTCTGGCCAGGCAGGCACCCTGTCAGATGTGTCCAGGCTTGGGGGTGTCTCCCATCACTGACTGTTTTTTCCTGTATGAATTTTTTTTGCAGATGTCTCTGTTTATGACAGAAGTGTGATCAAAACAGGCAGGTGCTTATCCAAGAGGCAGGGAAGCCATGGGAAGGGTGAAGTACCATCTTGAACTTAACAGCATGAAAAAGTGGAGTGGAAGGCAGGACATGTTTGAGGTCGGGGGTGTGGGAGAACAATGGAAGCAGTTATGTAGAACTGGTTATGCTATTGGAAAGGTACCAGGTGTTGTCATCCCAGTTTCTGTTCCTCTTTCCAGCAGAACACTGGACTGATTTGTACAATTCAGAGTGGCCATACCTCTCCTTTTCCTTTGCAGTGAGTGAACAGAGAGTGGATGAGAGGCTGCAGTGTGTGCCAAGACAGTGTCACTGTCCCTTTTGGAGTTGGCTGTGTGCCTGTAAAAGCTCTGCTGCCAGCTGGGAGTTGGGGCAGAAAATGCAGGCAGTCCCTGGTAGTTGGTTTTGAGATACATCAGCCTGTACCTGGCTTTGTGTGAGAGATGTCCATCACCTCTAGATGCAAGGGGGTAGGAGGAATTCAGCTACATAAGTACTAGATGGTGGCTGGGTACAAGTGAATTTAGAGAGTGACTTTTGAATGTTTTTATTTGGCTACAAGCAAGTGCTGTTGTATTTACTCTCTCATCTCCCCATCTGTCTGAAAGGGAGAGAGCTAGGAAATGTAATCTGGTACTGTATAACATGTTAAACTGTAGGAATGCCTTTTTGTGTGCCTCCATCAGAGTTGGAGCTGTGTGGATGGGCAGAGGCTCTGCCAGAGGCACTCCCATCTGCAGCTGGTCCCATCCCAGGGCATGGGGCAGAACAGCACAGGGTCATGAAGAAGGTGAGCTGATGTTCCTTGGCTGTGAGCCCTGTGGGTGATGGACCCACGGCTGGAAAACTGCTCTGCAGCACATGGAGCACTTCCCCTGTCCTGGACATGCTGCTAGCCTGGAGCCTGTCCTGCTCTGCTCTGTCCACTGTGGCCTCTCAGTCCTACCTCACCAGCTTTCCAGTTTGCTTTGTCCCTACATTTATCTTCCTTCTGTGGTTGGACATGTGACTGAAGGCTTTAATTTATTCACAGCCCTGCTTTTGGTAATTTATCCTTTGTACTCTTTGCTGTCTTGTATTATTTAATTCTGTGAAGCACTCTGGGATTCAGTGTGTGTGAAAGATGCTGTACACAATAACATTATGCTGTATTGTTTGTGATTTGCAGGCCTTCTGGATTTCTAATTCTGATTGCAGTGGTGGTTTGTGTTATTTGTGCTATGGCTGTGCTCAACAGCCTCAGCTGGATCAGACTTCCCTTCCAGCCCTTTCCTTCAGGATCTCACACCTCATTGTGCCCTGATTTACTGTTGGCTTGCTCCATTCCATGTGTAATGGTTGGAAATGCAGGACAGACCACTGGGACATGGATTTGTGGTGTTCTGGTGAAGGCTCAGGGCCAAACCTGGTGTCTGACTCCTTGTGGGCTGTGGGGCTGCCCTTGGGGAGAAATGGGAGTTGTGCTCTCTGGGGGTGGCCCAGGGGATATGTGGGTTGGTTCCACCCTCAGGAGGGGCTGTTTGGGGCAGCACTGAAGCAGCAGAATGAGCAGAGTGATTGATGCCTGTGATGGGTCTCTGCTGAGCAGCTGGACACAGCCAGAGCTGGAGGAGCTCATCAGCCTGTTCCCTGTGGGACAGGAAGCACGAAATAGGGCAAATCTTGGGGCTGCTGGTGTGATGTGCTGTGCTGATGGATGGGAGGCTGTGGGGGGATGCTGGCTGCTGCCCACTGCTCTGCTGCCAGGATTGCTGCCCCAGCAACACATGGTCAGTGCAGAGCCTGTGCTTTGTGCCACTGTGGCTGCAGCTGAGGTGTCTGCAGATGTGGCTTACAGCCTCCTGTGCCCTGCCCTCTGGTTGTCTCACTTGAGGATGCAGTGGAGGAGCAGCACAGAGGGTATTAGGTGGGAAGGGCTCCTTGAGCAGGGGTGCTCACCTTCAGTTTGGTCCATGCTTTTCCTGAGCCTACAGCACTGAAGCTTCCCAGAGCCACAGGTGAAGTTACAGCCCACAGTTTTTGTGTTGCTCTGTCTATCCAAAGCATAAGGTTCCCATCAGAGCAGGTTTTTCCCCTTGTCCAAAGTCTGTGCACAGTTCCACTTTATGCACCAAAAGCCACACTTTCATTTTAGTGGAAGGCTCTGGGCTTGCAGCCTGGTAGAAACGTGGCCTTCCTGTACCATGCTGCAACACAGGACAAGGAGAGCAGTGACACAGCACCTGTGGTGTTGGATTCCAGTACCCTGGGGCTGGTGCTAAGGCTGGGCACCTCCAGCTGCTCATGGTTTCCCCTTTTGCCTGGTCACAGGTACGCCATCGACCGCAGCACGGACGCCGAGAGGATCTTCGACATCGATGCCAAAACAGGGGCAATTGTGACAGGAAAGGTCCTGGACCGGGAGACAGCAGGGTGGCACAACATCACTGTCCTGGCCATGGAGGCAGGTGAGATGCAGGAATGCTGTGTGGGGCAGAGTCTGTGGGGCAGGAGGAGGAATCTGGGTGCTGCCATTGCAGGGGTGGCCAAGACGCGAGTGTTAATCAACACCAAAGTAAAAAAGAAAAATAAATGCAGCAGCACTGAGTCTGACATCTCCCTAGACAACCTAAAAATACTCTTCCTGAGCTGAGCATTAATAAGGGAGCATGGTCGAATAGTGTATTTGATGAACACTAATCAAATTTGTGTTATCTCTGCGCCATCTCTGCCAGTCATCCCTGCACAGCTTGCTGCCTGCACTCACACCTGCTGAGCAGCACCAGGGGCTCCCGGGGGGCTGTGCTCACATCACTGCCTCCCCCAGATCATCCTGTGCCCTGCTGGATTGGATGTCCCCTCAGCTGGAGCCCTGTGGCACTGCAGGACTGTCAGCACTTGCCTCTGCCAGAGCTCTCAGTGTTTGGGATTCACAGACTGTACCTGCACCTGGGTGTGGAGCTCTGGATGCCTCCTGTGTGCTTGGGGTGGTGCAGGCTTGGCACAGAAGGAATGGATGGGAGATCCTGGGGTGCAGCAGGGGGAAGGGACTGTGGGAGCAGAATGTTCCAGGCATCATGCTGGGAAACAGAATGGCATTGCCATGTTCTTCAGAGTTTTCCATATTTTGGAGGTGCAAGTCACCAGGGTAGCCTGGGCCCTGCTGTGCTCTGCCTCTGCCCTGCAGTGGGTACCAGGGAGCTGCTGGGGCTGCAGAGCCCCTCCTTATCCCTGCTGACATGTGCCAAGGCCTGTCTGTCTGTGGGCAGGAGCCTTCTCCAGGCTTTGCTCTGAGTGTTTCTCTGCTCATTCTTGAGTGATGACACTGCTGTTCATGTTCAAGGAGCCAGGTCAAGGCATGACTTAGGTCCCAGAGGTCACATCCTGCCACCCACTCTGGCCAGGTGAGGGCACAGGCCCTGTAGCCCTGGGAGAGGAAGGGTTGGTGGCCCTGGCCAGACCCCCAGTGCCCTGAAGGGGTATCTGTGGCTCCATGGTGCATCCCAGTCCCTCCCTGTGCCAACTCTCTGTGCTGGCTGATGGGAGTGACCCCTGCACTCCCTGGCTGTGGCACTGTTGTGAGCCCTGCCTGGTCACATCCCAGGGAGGGCAGTCCAGCTGTGACCTGTGCTGGGGGCTCCATGGGGAGGCTCTGCAGGGAGGGGGGATGGCAGCATTGCAGCACAACTCAGCATCCAGAGGAAACATGAGGTGACAAGAATCAGAAGGACAATATTTACACGCTGTGGCTAGGATTTCAGAACAAGTCAGTAAATGCTGCAGCTCCCCTCTGGCAGGGAAGCCTGTCAGGCTGGATTGCTTCAAAAGCCAGGGAGACTCTTCAGTGCTCTGACTTCTCCCATGGTGAGCTCTGACTCATCCGTTTTAGCTGCCCAGACATTCTTCCCAGTGACATTATCCTTAACGTTTTGTAATCATGAAATATTAATGACTGATATTGAATTTAAAGTACAATTTATGTCTGGATCCTCTGGTGGAAAGGGCAGTTGTAAAGGTACAGCCTTGTGAGTGATGGAGGGTTTGGGAGCAGGGCTGTGCAGCAGCTGTCAGGATGTGCCTGGTGCAGTGGGATCAGCCCTGGAGTGGGAGTGGGGAATGCAGGGCAGCAGCACACCCAGCAGTGCAGCTCCTGGCACACAGGTGTCTGTGGTGCCCACCATGGGCTTGTGGGGTGCAGCTGGATGCCACAGGGTTGGACATCCCCAACTCCACCAGAGGCAAGTGGTCACATATTCTCTTTCCTCAGTGAGATGTAAACTTGGCACGAGGAATGGAACAAACCCAGTGGGAGTCCTGCTGCCCAGGATTGTGCCTCAGCTCGTTGGGGCTGGTGGGAAACTGTACCCACTGAATTCCCAAGGTGCCAGGGCTCACCTGATTCCCCTGGCACCAGTAACATGGCCTGGAGTGTGTTGCAACAAGATATTGCATCCCTGTGGCCTCCTGGTCTGCTGTCAGGGCTGTCCTGGGCAGGGCTTGACCTCTGCAGGCTGAAGGACAGCAAGCCCCTCTCTGTGCCACTGCCCAGCCCCACTCACTGTGTCACTGTCCAGCCCCATTCTGTGCCACTGCCCAGCCCCACTGGCTGTGTCACTGCCCAGCCCCACTGGCTGTGCCACTGCCCAGCCCCACTGGCTGTGCCACTGCCCAGCCCCACTGGCTGTGTCACTGCCCAGCCCCATTCTGTGTCACTACCCAGCCCCTCTGGCTGTGCCACTGCCCAGCCCCTCTGGCTGTGTCACTGCCCAGCCCCTCTCTGTGCCACTGCCCAGCCCCTCTGGCTGTGTCACTGCCCAGCCCCATTCTGTGTCACTACCCAGCCCCACTCTGTGCCACTGCCCAGCCCCACTCTGTGCCACTGCCCAGCCCCATTCTGTGTCACTGCCCAGCCCCATTCTGTGTCACTGCCCAGCCCCATTCTGTGTCACTGCCCAGCCCCACTGGCTGTGCCACTGCCCAGCCCCACTCTGTGTCACTGCCCAGCCCCACTGGCTGTGTCACTGCCCAGCCCCTCTCTGTGCCACTGCCCAGCCCCATTCTGTGTCACTGCCCAGCCCCACTGGCTGTGCCACTGCCCAGCCCCATTCTGTGCTACTGGCCAGCCCCACTCTGTGCCACTGGCCAGCCCCACTGGCAACCCTTGTTCCCACAGGCAGCCTGTGGGGCTCAGCAGCTCCAAACAGGAGCTGTGCCCCCTCCCTGGAGAGCCCTGTCTGGCACCCACTGCAGCTGCTGCAGAGACCGTGTCCAGGTTATTTCCCAGCTGTGGATACCAGGGTGTATTTGCCCCTGGAAGCAGGAGGAACAGCTGCAGAAGGTGCCCAGCTGTGCCCATGAGCTGTCTGAGTGCCCCAGTGGTGCCGTGAGGAGCAAGGGCAGCTCTGTCCCCAGCAGGAGCTGCCCAGGACCAGCAGAGTGCCTGGCCTGCAGCATGGCAGCCAGCAGGGAGCATTGGGGCTGTTCAGCTAATCTGGCCTGGGACCAGGCCAAGCGTTTCCACAGATAAATCTTCATCTCCCTCGCAAGCTGTTTACCTTCCTTGGGCTAATATTAGTGATTCTCTTCCTGTTTTCCTCTTTGCTCATGTAAAATGATGAGGCCTTGACTGCTGTGTCCACTGCTGGTAATTGAGATGATAAATCTTCCTGCTGGAGACTGGCTTTAATCAGAGCATTGTGTTTGGATGCAATTTAATGACTCTCATGCTGCTGAGTTTGGGCAGGACTCAGGAGAGGTGAGAGCCATTTATGTTACTTGGCTTAGCTGCTGCTTCCACTTTGCTTCCCCTCAGCTGGGGGCCACGTTTTCAGCTCCAGCCTCTGACACAGCCACCTGTCAGACAAGTCACACCCCTGGCATGCCCCTGCTCTGTCCTTGGCAGCAGCACTCTGGTTTGCAGGCAGGAGCTGCACAACAGCTCCAAACCCACCCTGTGCCCCAGCACCGTGGCATCAGGGCTAGAGAGCAGAGTGGCACATCCCAGACTTCTGCTCTGCATTTTCTTCTCCCAATTTGCTGAGATAGTGAGGAAATAAATTCCGCTCCTGCCTCTTCTGACTTCCTTACTAATGTAAAAATTTTGAATTCAGTATTGTACCAATTTGGTCTCCACACAGAAGAGCAGATTGGATGCTGTGCCCAGCAGTGTCCCTGAGCCGGTCTGCATGTGGCAGCTCAGAGTCACCTGGGCTCTCCTCAGACCCAGAGAAGCTGCTGAGCACTTTGGGGTGTGTGTGGGGAGGAGGGCAAATGGAATTTGCTGGACTGGGAGCTCCACAGGAGATGTTTGTGTGTAAAAATGCAAAGCGCTTTATTGTGAGATTGTGTGAGGTTCTGGAGGAGCAAGGGCTGGACCCTGGCACAGCAGAAGCCACAAGTCCCCTCCTCTCCTGCCACAGCAGGGGTGACCAAGCACTGTCAATCCCTTCCCATCCCTGGGAGCTGCTGCAGAGCTACAGCATTGCTGAGCAGTTGCCCAGAGCTGCTGGGTGTCAGTCCTGTGAGGACTCAGCTGTCTGCAGCTCAGGGAGAGGCCCAGTTGGTGTTTTGCATCTGAATATTGAAGAGGAGAATATTGTCCTGTTGAGATTACTTACTTACATGATTAATTAAATAAGGAAATACTCTGTGGATGAAGATTCCCCTGAAGCATTTAACGCTTGGCCTGAGGGTTGCTGTGCAGCAGGACTGTGACCATCTCATGCTCCAGAATCCTGGCACTGCCCGTCCCATCCCTGCCAGCCCTGTCCCAGTGCTGCCTGTTCTGCTACACAGCACCTGGGCAGGGTGTCTGGCTGAGCCCTGAGCCACGCTGGTGGCTGTGCTGGGGCAGGCACAGATGCAGCAGTGTGGAAGCACTGGGCAGAGCTCTGTCCCCCATGCACAGCAGCTCCAGTGGCTCTGAAATAATTCCTCCCATGTTGGCAAAGGCAGCTGCCAGTCACCAGCCTGGAGCTCCCATACTGCACAGCTGTGCTTCCAGCATCTCCCTCTTGTTCTGTGTATTTTCCATGTCTCTTTCCCCAGTCTTTTCAGATTAATAGCATTCCAGCTCCTGAAGGAAATGCAGAAAAACGGCATGTTTAATTTTAATTTAGGGAAGCGTTTAGGTAGCAGCCTAGTTTTCTCTCTGCTGTCAATCAGGTTTTCTCAAGGCTGACATCAATTAGTTTAAAAATATTGAATGTAATTTTGCCTGACACAACATATTGCAGCCACTGCAAAATATAATTTATTTTAGAAGAAGAAATAATTAAACTAATTTGCATGTCAGTCAGCTGAGCTGGAATACCGAGGAGAGAGGCTGCAATGGAAGATGTTTTTTCTCCCTTCCGGCTGCCCTCAGCCAGCACGTGCTGCCCTCGCCTCTGTCACGGGCCAGGTGAGCCCTGTGAGGGCAGGTGCCTGCAGCACCCCCACCACAGCCTCATCCACGTCTCTGCTTCTCTTTCTGGCCCTGGCACCTGCCTGCTGAGCCTTTGCCCCTGTGCTGGGGCGTTTTGGGTGCGTGCACACAGCACTGCCAGAGTTTCTGACCTCGCAGATGTGAGTCCTGTGTTAGCTGAGTGCTTTGTGCCTTTCATCACAGATGAGTTCCAACAATCTCAATAACATTTCTGACCATCGTAATATCAGTTTATGCCACTGTTAGAAAAAAACTTATTTCAGATGTTTTGAAGATAACTTCTTTCAAATACATCCAACCATTCTTCTTTTTTTCCACCCGTAAATCCAGGTACTAGCACAAAGGATGAGGGAAGTTGATAAAGCATTGAGAAACCTTCAAATATACATTGTACAGCCAAAATAAAAAGAAGCTGATGTGTGCCTCACTGGAAAGGTAGACAAGAGTGTAGCAGTTGCCTTTCTAACCTCGATGTTGCTGGACACGTCAAATTTTGACCCCGTCACTGAGCCAGGAGTGAGCACGAGCCTCAGGCTTCAGCAGTTTTGGAAGGGCAGAAGGAGAGGTTTTTGTATGACAGGGTGCATTTGGAAAGGTCACTGTCTCAGAGCTGTGCCCAGGGAAGCAGGACGTGAGCCCTGGCTGGGGAGGGCTGGGTGCAGGTCCCCAGCTCTGTGCCCAGGCAGGGATGTGACCCTGCTGCTGAGCACAGCCCTGTGCTCCTGCCTGGCTCTGAACACGCTGCTCACAGCCCCCCTCAGGGGCTGGGGGAGCTGGACTCGAAGAGAAGCTGCTTTGCTCAGGATCACCTGGATGTCCAGAGCTGGCACGCACATCCCAACAGATCCTGGCTTTGGCAGCGCTGGGATGGGCTCCTGCTCTCAGCTGGTCCCACACTGGGGCCCTAAGGGAGCAGCTCCTCCTCTGGGCTACAGTTAGGAAGGGAAAGAGCTGGGGTCCTGGATTCCTCCTCCTTTCTTCCTCTCCTCTCCTCTCCGCCTGCTCCAGAGCTGAGCAGCAGGGATGGTTATCCATCTTCCTTGTGGGCTGAGGAGGGGGTGATGAAACGCTGTCATCCTCCTTCTTGCAGGAACTGAACCCTTTTTCTTCCTGCTCATTTGTGGGCATCAAGCACACACCCCGCCGCCTCCCCGGGCTCCCTTCTCACCCCGCTGCCTCCCCCTTTCTCTCTTCCTTCAAGCAATTTCACTGCACCAATATGCCTTTTAAAATAACACATAGTTCTAGGCTTTTAGTCACGACTTCAGCCTCCCTCCCCCAAAAACAACTATCTAATCACCAGAGCAGCTGGTCTGGGTGAGAGGGAGTGATAACGTGAGAACCGGGTGAAGGCAGCTCTGGGGAGGGGGCTTACATTCCTGGCTAATTATGGAGCAGCGCTAAATCTCCTCTCCCCGGGGTCCTCCCCCACCTGATCAGTTGGGGCCACTATTAATGTTATAGACAAACAGGCAGCAGAACTCCTGCCTGAGCGTGGAGAGAAGCATTAGTTCTGTCACAGGTGCAGCCTCTGGGTAAAACAAAGGAGATGGAGTAAGAGGGAGTTCTCATTTCTGGAGATATATGAGGTGCTTCAGCAAACATCAGGCCCTCCAGAGTGATTTATAATCCTGTGCCACGGGCTCGGTGTCCCTCGGCAGTGTGTGTGCAGCTCAGTGATGCTGCAGTGAGTGGAGGTGTGAATGCTGCCCCATCCCACGTGCAGAGGGAGCCCCAAGGGAGGGGGGTCCCCAGGACCACAGCCTGGGTGAGGCTGGGCTGGTGAGTGCCAGGGTGACAGGGCTGCCCTCGGTCTCACTGTGTGCCCCCCTCATGCCAGCTGGTGGATGATGCTGTGTTTAAGTTTACCAAAAACCCAGTGTCAGCATAAGATGCTTGAGTCCCTGGGCAAGAGCCTCGTGCCTCAGTGGGGCACATTTCACCCTGGGTCACCTGGGCACAGCAGAGCTGGACAGACAGATCTCACCACCAGCCTGTGCCCTTAGCTGATGCAGCTGTTTCACATCCCAGCTCCATTTGCTTGGCCCTTGGATGTTGCTGCCAGTCCTGAGCACCTATGGATCAGGATCCAGGTCAGAGGGGGATCTCACATCCCAGTTTTCTGTCCCATCTTGGTGCTGTTTTGCTGCATCACAGTTCCTAACCCTTATGGCTGGGACTAGCTTTGGGCTGCTCCAATTTTCCAGGGGTAGATCAGGTGGTGTTTCAGGACTCCTTGGCACACAGCCCAGTGGTTGGGCTTGCTTTGCAGGGTGCAGTGAGGCTGAAGCATGCTGCACAGGTGCTGCTGTCCTGCAGGCAGTCTGTGCCACAGGCAGGCAGAGGTGCAGTGCTGGCAGCAGCCACGATGGCCTCAGGACAGATGGGGATGAGGGGGTTTGCTCTCTGATAGCAGCAGTTGTCCCTTTGTCCTGAAGCTCTGCTTCTCCTTCTGTTTCAGATAACCACTCCCAGGTGTCGAGGGCCTCTCTCCGTATCCGAATCCTGGACGTCAATGACAATCCACCTGAGCTTGCCACCCCCTATGAAGCTGCTGTGTGTGAGGATGCCAAGCCAGGCCAGGTAGCTAGAGTCCCCCAGCCCTGGTCTAGGGCTGCAGGCAGCACTCTGGACTAATGCCAGCTTGCCCATCTGTCCCCTCCTGCCTGAGAGCCTTGGTGTGCAGCCCCTGTCCCAGTGGGAGTCACTCTGCTGCTCCCACTGAGCCACCTGCAGGGATGAAGGCTCGTCCCTCTCTGGCTGCAGCTGGTGATGCTGCTGGCTGGACCCTGCAGTGGGACCCTGGGAGAGGCTGTGGGAGCAGCTCTGGTGCTCACCTGTGCCCTCTCCCCACAGCTGATCCAGACAATCAGCGTTGTGGACCGGGACGAGCCTCAGAGCGGGCACCGTTTCTACTTCACACTGGCGCCTGAGGCCACCAACAACCACCATTTCTCTCTGCTGGATATCCAGGGTGAGTCCTGCTGTACCCTTGGCCCAGCATCCTTGAGGCTGAGCAGCACCTCTGGCCATGGACAGGGAGGTGGGTTATGGTCTCTCTGTGCCAGCCCTGGGTGCTTTGGGCATGTGGCAGAGCTTCTTGTCAACCTGAAATGGTGGGACTGATCAGCTAACAGCTTGGATTTCCTCAAGGAGGCTCTGCCAGCTTTATTCCTCACTGCAATCAGCTACAAAGCTCCTCTCATGCTGTCTGGTTAAGCCTTTGGTATTTTCAGGGCTCTCAGTCCCTTTCTTGATGGGAAATCTCCAACCTGCCTGCAGGCAAGGAGATGATGTGGATTTATAGAAGAACACACTCCCATTTGGAGCTTTATGATTTATTCCTCTCCAAGGTAAATCCTGGAGCTTGGGTCATCTTGGGGCTGCCATATGGGTGGCCAGCCCTGTGCCCCTGACAAATGGGAGCAGCTCCAGAGCCCTGGGAGGCAGTGGGGCCATGCTGTGGCCAGCCCACAGCCACAGTGGGTTCTCTGGGACACAGCCTGCAGAGCCTGATTCCCTGTCAGGTGGTGGCTCTGGGGTGCAGTTCCTCTGTTTCCTGGGGCTCATCCTCTCCTTTGGGACAGCCAGACAAGCAGAGTCTATCTGTTCCTCTGGGCAGCTCTGGGGTTCTCTGCATCCCTGAGCTCAGTAGCTCATCCTGGGTGACTCGATGCTGCTGTGAGTGATGGGGTGCCATGCAGGTTCTGCTGGCTGAGCCTGACTGCTGTTGGACTTTGCAGGCTGCACGTTTATGGACAGTAACAATCCAGAAAAGTAGTTATCAGGATGCTTCCTATTTTTGGTTGGTGTTTAAGGGGGAATTTAGGTGCTGATTGTAGCAATGAGTACAGCAGGGTCCCCTGCAGATACTGGGACCTTCTCCAGCCTCATGTGCTTGTCACAGGGGCCAGCAGATCACATTGAAATTCTTCTTTGGTTTTGGTTGGGTTTTGTTTTAAAATCATTCTCTTTCTCTGCTTTTGCAGCTTTATCTGCCGAAAGCCTGGTTTAGTTTGTTCTGAGCTTATCATAGGAGCCTTCTGCTGACGTAAGATCCTGCTTGCTCAGTTTGGTTCAGCATTATTAGGGATAGTCAAAATGGAAAAGCTTCAGATGTGATGGTAGCACAGCTGGATACTGCTTTGTGTCCTGGGCAGCACAGCTGTCCCTGACCTGAGTCCCTCCCCCTCTGCTCAAGGGCAGCTGTTCAGAAGACCTTTGCTTCTTATCATGTAAACAGGCTTTAATCCTCAGCCAGATTTTGCCCCACACCCAGCGATTAACTTCCCTCACTTTCTTTGGAAAACCTTATGAAAATGTGCTTGAACACGCTGAGCTGCACCCGGGTCCATCCCTGCCCAGCCCCTCGTGAGGCTCCGAGCTCTGGGCCAGGGTGTCTGCCAAGGCCAGAGCCACCACTGCTGTTTGCTCATCTGCCAGGGAACTGGCTGGGGGTGTGTGGGGCTTGGCAGGGGCTCCCTGGCTCTGTGTGGGGCATCCACCAGCAGTGGCCAAGAGCTGGCCTTGCAGGAGATGCAGGACACATGTGCCACCATCTCCTCCAGAGCTGCTGCTCTCTTGAGTGGGATGAGGCTCTCGTGGCACAGGGTAACTCTTTGTGCTAAATGATCCCTGGAGCTTTTTGTGTGGTGTAACACTGCATAAAATGAGTAAAAGCTGGCATCACCTCCCGCCTCCTGCTCTTGGGAAAACAAATGTTGTTGCTGCAGGGTTATTCCCAGAGTGTTTGGAGACCCTCCCAGTTGCTGAGCAGTGCTGTCTTCCACAGCAAGAGGAGGTGGCTGCCTGTGGCAGATGGAGGCACCCCTCATTTCTAACAGGGTGCCTTGGTGCCACCTCCCTCCCTTTGATTTCTGCCCCCTTCTCCAGTCCATCAACGACCCTGGGTACTCACCTTTGCCCCTGCTCTCGTGGGTGACCTTGCTGCATCCTCCCTTGTGTTCCCCCATTGCTTCCCTCTCCTGCATTCACCCCTCTCCACCATGCACTTGTCTCTACTCCCCCGTGCAAATATCAGTGGTGACAAACTGCTACCACCAGCCCATCTGTTTCTTTGTACAAATTTGTAGCCAGTTTTGAAACGTGATTTATAAATATTGCTTTTGCAGCCAAGGAGTGACACTGATGGATGTCAGCACAGATGGATTCTCTAAGCTCTTGCTTAAATCCTCTCTTTTGCTTTGCACCTACTTCACTTGGCTCCTTTGTGGCACCAGAAAGCCACCTCGGGGAGTGATTTGTTCTCAGGGTGGGGATTGCACTTTTGGGGCTCCCTCCTGGGTCCTGGGTGTGGCACACAGAGCTGTGCTGGCTCGGGGCTGGAGATGCCAAAACCAAGGGTGTCCCTGCAGACACATAGCTGAGTTACAGGTGATTGGCAAGTTGGGCTTTTGGAAACAGCACCATTGCCTGTTGGTGCCTCTCTTTCCCTGCTTCTGCTGTGTCTGAGGGAGCTCTCACACACTCCCTGATTCATCAGACAAGGAATAAATGTCACCTGTGGTAACAACAGCGAGCGTCCAGGAAGAAGATGCCCATCATATGGAGTGAATCAAGGAAGAGATGGAATTAGAGAAGCTGACCATGTTAAGATCCAACTGGTGCCATTCCAAAGGCGTTCACCATCCCCTGTTTCCTAACTCGCCTTTTGCTGGGCCTTTCTGCCCTGAGAAAATTGATTACAGCAGGATCAAAGGCAATTAAAGCCTGAAATCATGTTCTCCAAGAAATGCTAATTGTGTTGGAAGGGATGGTAGAAAGCATCCAAGCCCAGCAACCTGGAAGGAGTGCTAGGTAATGTGGAGTGACACATGGAGCTACTGACTCCAGGGCTCAAGGGCTCGGCAAGCAGATGTCTGAACTCTCTGCAGGTCTCATTAAGAGCATGTAATGGGTGATAGAAGATCTGAAAATCCTAACAATCAAAAGCAAAATGTTAGGATTTGAGGATTGCCTGAGGATAGAGGAAGCCTCCTGCAGCCCCGCAGGGATGCCCCTCTCAGCACAAGCAGCACAGATGCTCGTTTGGCTGGGGCAGAGTTGGGGTGTGTGTGTGTAAAAGAGCATCAAACCTCCTCGGGGCTGAGCAAACAGAGGAGGAGCAGCAGTGGTGCTGTGGCCTGCTACCCAGAGAACTCGAGAGAAGGAAGAGGCAGAAGGGGAAACCAGGATGTTTCTTCTGCCAGCTGCACCAGCCGGGGCTGGAGGAGCTCTGCTCCCTCGGGGCAGCTCTGGCAGCAGTGTGCCTGCAGGCACAGCCGGGTGCTCCTCCCCAGAGCCGCTGTTCCCAGGCTCTGGGGCAGCAGGGCAGCTGCTGGAGAGGGGGAGCACAGGCGCTCACAGGGCCCTGGGAGTGTGGGAGAGGGAAGGGACATCAAAATCCCTCCTGCTCTGCTAGCGCGGTTTGAGATTGAGTTATGAGAAGGATTTATTAGTTCTATCTTCAAGGCTGCCAAGAGCCTCTTTGGAGAGGGAGTCTGGGAGACTTAATTATTTTATTATTCCTAGTGACATTAAGCTACCACCAGAGTATATTGCCTTTCCAAAGTTTCCCCTTAGGGCAGTATTGATGAGTCCCTGTGTGTTCAGCTCGTGTCAGTTCCTGCCCTGCCCAGTGTCCTGCTCCTCAGGTGGACAGAGGGGCCATCTCCTGCCCTGTCACACAAGGGGATGTGATGTAACACAGGATAATGTCACTGCGTGATCAGAGAGAGGGTGGCAGGAAACCTACAAAGAAAATGTCAATTTGTGCAGCAGGAAAGCAGTGATAGTAAAAGGTTTGGATTGGGGCATCAGAGGACACTCAGCACAGCCTCAGCAGAAGGTGCAGCTTTGTAGGGACTGGGCAGGAAACCAAGTGTGGAGACCCAGAGTCGTCTGTTCAGGAGAGCTGTGGATTAACGTCTGCTCACATTGCAGTGCTGCTCCTGAGAAGCTCTGCTCCTCAGCTCATCACCCCAGAAATGGATTTGGCAGGAAACTCCTGCAGAGGAAGAGACACAAGGGCTGTGGGGCCAGGGCTGCCTGGGCTGTGCCAATGCAAACAAATCTGCACCAAGACACATCCCAAAGCAGCTGCTGTGGGTCAGCCACATGTAGAGAAACAAGTGCACCAAGAGAAATGACAATTGTTTTGTAGGAGGTTGCTTTGCATGCTTTTTCCAGGATACACATTCCAAGATCTGTGCAAAATTTTCCCAGATCTGTGATCGAAAGGACTACAATCGTACGGCAGAGCACTTTTTTTGGAGTATCTCAGAGGGGAACACAGAAGTTTGTGAGTGACAGGGGTGCAAACACCCAGCAGAGAAGAGTTCATGGTGGTGGGGGGCAGGGGGTGGTGGGCAGGTGTTGGAGCCATTTCAGTGCCAGAGGCAGGTGGTGCCTGCCAGGCTGGGCTCTGGCTGTTGAGCCTTGGTGAGCAGTTTCATTGCTGTACATTTGAAATTTCTGTCTATCTCCCTCCTGGGATGAAGGGCGCCTGCCACCCTGTTCAGGAGATAAAATATAGTTTCATGATGTTTAAAGTAACATTTGTAGTTGTGATTTTTGTGGCTCCCTTGCCTCAAGTTTTGGGTCACAGGACAAACCCTCCTGAGGCAAGGTTTCTCTAAGCAGACCTGTCTGTCATGCTGCTGTTAAATTTAAGTACCACATTCTTTATTTTGACTTGGTGGGTGGCAATATTTCTTTTTCAGTGGTGCCAAGCTGCCTAAACTGTCTGGGCTGAGCTGAGGTTGGTGGCTGCCCCTCTGCCACTTGCATGTGCAGCTCCCCTTGGTTCCTAGAGACTGCTTCTAAAAATACAGCATGCCTTGTCGCAGGTCCCTCACAGGAGCTGGAGCTGCCTGTAAACAGAAGGGAGTTGCCAGCCTCCTGCTGCATTTCCAGAGAGGTTTGGTGCTACCCCTGCGTTTACACAGTGCTGAAGAGCAGCTGGGGGAGTTCCCAAGCCCTGTGTTCCATCAGCCCTGTGTGAGGGCTGGGCTGAGCTGCAGTGGAGGTGCAGGGCTGTGTGCTCAGGGATCCTCTGAGCCAGATCTGACCCCAGCCCCAGGCTGGTGACCTGGCTGGTGTGACAGTGACAGCAAAGGTGACCTTCCTGGGCTGTGGCCAGAGCCTGGCCCTCCTCAAGCACTTTGGTCTGTCCTTTTTGTCCTGTGGTTTTATCCCCACTCCATCCAGGTGTCTGAGGCTCACTTTTAGCTGGACCAGCTAGGAGTTAGTCCTGGTCTCTTGCTGAGATAGTGCCATTAACGTTATTTATATCCCCCTGCTACACTGCAGCGAGGAGGGGGGACCAGCACCAAATGAGATCTCATTACCTTTGTGCAAACGATTAGCATAACAATATTTTTTTTTCTAGCTCATCTTTAGCAGGCCACAGGCAGCTCTGAGGTGCTGCTGCCACCGCACTTGGTCCAGCCTCCTTGCCCCCAGGGGCCAGTGCTCCCCTGTTCCTGCTGACACCTCTGCCCAGTTGCCATGGTGCTGCTGCCACACGCTGCTCCAGGAGTCTCAGCCACAGTGGCAGGTGTCCCACAGGACAGGAATCTGTGCTCTGCGGTGCCACACGCACCCTTTGGGATCTGCTTCCTGGCTGACCAGCAGATTTTCCATCCTGGCTCACCTCCTGTCCCCACCATGCCCTGTGTGCTCTCGTGCAGCCCCCAGTCCATAGAGCAATTTCCGTGATGGCAGCAGCCCAAGGGCCAGAGTTACTGTAGATGTCTTTTCCAATGGAAGGGCTGATTCATAGAGAAAGGGGATGGTCTGGCATAAATCAGCTCTGATGAGCAGAGTCTGTAGACAGCAGCACCTTGCTGTGAGTGGCCAATCCATGGTTTATTAGATAAAGGCTGCAGACAGTCGGCAGTGGCTTGTGACACCTGGCTCCAATTGTCACCTGCTGTTCAGCCCCATCCTGCCCATGCTGCTGCTGTCTGGCAGCCTGCAGCACCCCTGAGCAGGGAGTCAGTCCCAGTGTCAGTGCCTGTCCCTGCCCTCCCTCCCTGCTCCTGGTGGGCAGCAGCTGCTCCTTGGGTTCATCGCTGGCACCAGGGCCCTGGAGGGCCCCTGAAGTGGCTGTGTTAATGGGATCTTAACGAGTTGTGCTGTGCCAGCTGAGCCCCTCAAGCAGCAGGGTGTAAGCAGATGGGGAGGAGGATGCCTGACTTGGCTGGGAGGCTTGGAAGAAGCTCTGCCTACTCCTTCAGGAGTTACAGAGGATTACAGGGGTATCTGGCCCTCTGGCTGAGGCAGGACCATTCACTCATGGCTTTTGGCTTTGGAAGAAACAGTGTCTGCTCTTGCAGTCTCAATGCCACCTGCAGACCCTGTCTGTTCTTGTGTACATGTCACCAGCTGATTTTTGTCCCGACTCTGTGCCACTCTCAGGGTCTTTTGGAAGTTTTTCCCCTCTCTCTGTGCCACCTGTGTTGTTTGTCAGCGTGGTTCAGACACTCATGTGCTGCTGCTGCTGCTGTGCCAGGCTCAATCCCAGGTGTGGTGACAAAGGAGATGCCAGGTGGTTCTGAGGTACTGCTGGCAAAGGGGAATGTGCTGGAGTGGAGCTGGCCATGTTCAGGCACTGAGGCTAGAGGGGGGCTGCAGTGCCAGGGAGCCATGTGATGGAGGAGGAGGAGGCCCCAGGCTCTCTCAGGATAACTGCTGGAGGTGGTGTAGGAATAGCTGCTGTTCACCCAGAGCATGGAGGAGCCCCTGCAGATGCTGCAGGCTGTGATGTGGGGGTGACTTTGCTGAGGTTTTGTTTGTTCCCTGCAGACAACACGGCAGCGGTGCACACGCAGAGAGTGGGCTTCAACCGCCAGGAGCAGGACGTGTACCTGCTCCCCATCCTGGTGGTGGACAGTGGCCCCCCAGCCCTGAGCAGCACAGGGACCCTGACCATCCGTGTGTGTGGCTGTGACAGCACCGGGGCCATCCAGTCCTGCAACAGCACCGCCTACGTGGTGTCAGCCACGCTGAGCCCCGGCGCCCTCATCGCGCTGCTGGTCTGCATCCTCATCCTGGTTGGTGAGTGCCTGCCTGTCCCCTGAGCCCTCCCTGGCCTGGCCTGTCCCTGCTCCACTCCCTCAGCATCACGTGAATGTGGGCACAGAGCTTCTCTGCATCTCCTCCCTGGTAGCTGCAGCATGGGGAGCATGAACCTCAGCCCCTGCTCGGGGACCAGTGGGGAAGCTCCCATGTTTGCCACAGCTCATGGTGCTGGGCTCCAGAAGGCAGCCAGAGCAGAGTTCCCTGTGCCAGGCAGGTGTGATGCTGCCCAGCAGAGCCTGGAGAGCTGCTGGCTCTCTCCCTGCCTGGACAGGCAGGAGCCAAGAGCTGCCATGCTATGCCCACCGCAGGTGTCTCACAGCAGATGGGCTGTGTGATCCCAGCGTGTGGTGTGGGGCACACAAGTGTACTCTTCCCTGTAAAGGTCCATGTTAGAGTGTGTGTGAGTGTGTGGGCAGGAGCAGAGCTGGGCTGTGGTCAAACCAGAGTGCTGCCTAGGTCAGAGCCTGTACCTGATTGCTGTCTGACACTGGCACAAGCTTTGCTGGGCATGGGGAGTGTGTGCATGTGAGAAGGGGCTCTGAATGAGGGGTGTTGCAGTGCCCTCAGGTTTAGCACAGGACCGTTGATGGATGCAGCTACTGAAAGCCCTCTCTGGCCCCAGAGCTGGCTCCAAGGCTTGTCCAGACACCTGTAGGAGGCTGCACATTGTTTGGTGAGGTATCCTCTCCTTGGCATGGCTCCACTCCCTGTCTCCTGCTGCATCTCCGTTCAGAAAACCCTTTCCCACAGGGTGCACTTTACGCTGGTTTCATTTTCCAACGCAGTGCAAACAAATTTCTGCCTAATTGCCCAGACAAATAAAGCGCACATTGGTGCTTTAAAGGTGATGGGCTGAATGGATGATGATCCAGGACACAGCTGCGGCTCGCTGCTCAGGCCCTCTGCCATCTGCTCCACATTCACCCACCAACATTTAGCTGCTGCTGTGAATCATGCACCCCTTTTCCTGCTCACCTTCTGCAGAGCCCATCCGTTTGTCTGTCCAGCTGTGTGTTTATCCATCGCTCCCTCGGTGGTCACACTGCATGGCAAGGGAAGCTCCTGCTCTGCCCTGGAGCCTGGGCAAAGCTGTCTCCAAGCCAGTACACAGCAGGGCTGCTGCTTGATGAGCCTGGGTGATGGGAACCCTCTGGCATCCTGGCAGTGCTCCCTGTGCCAGGGGTGCTGTGCCTCCACCCCTGCCACCAAGCAGGGGTCGTCCCTGGAGGAGCACAGCGTCCCCGAGACTCTGCACCCCTCTGACTGTCTCCTCCTTCCCCAGTGCTGGTCCTTCTGATCCTCACGCTGAAGCGGCACCACAAAAGCCACCTGACCTCTGAGGAGGACGAGGACATGAGGGACAATGTCATCAAATACAACGATGAAGGAGGTGGTGAGCAGGACACAGAGGCCTATGACATGTCAGCCCTGCGCAGCCTCTACGACTTCAGCGAGATCAAAGCTGGTGATGGAGGTGGGGGGCCAGGAGAGGGGGGCCCAGGCAGAAACCCATCCTCGGAGCTCCACGCCCTCCCCCAGTGGGTGCAGAGCCCAGACCTGGACTTCTCTGTGTTCAGAGACTATATCTGCAGGAAGGTGGAGCAGGCGGATGAGGACCTCTCTGTGCCGCCCTATGACTCGTTCCAGACCTATGCCTTCGAGGGCTCGGACTCGCCAGTGCCCTCCCTGAGCTCCATCAACACCTGGTCCAGCGGCTCGGAGCAGGACTTCTCCTACCTGGGGGGCTGGGGGCCGCGGTTCCGGCAGCTGGCAGCGCTGTACGCGGGGCGCCGGGGCGGCGAGGACAGCGAGGAGTCCTAGCTGCCCCTGCAGCCCCTGGCTCCGGCCACCTCCCGGCCACCTCCTCCGGCTCCAGGCTGAGGGGCCACACGGGATCCTGTGCTCCTGGGCCAGACTGCACAGCTGCCAGCGAGAGGCTGCCCCGGTGACTGCTCCTGTGCAGCCCGGGTGGGCTCCGCGCCCGCGTGGGGAGCCCGGAGGAGCCGCCGGGGTGTCCTCATCTCCTCAAAGCCAGTCTCCATTAAAGCACTACGCATTGACTTAAGAAGGAGAAAATCTAATTCAAGAGGGTTTGGAGAGGGTTTCTCCCCCACAAATTATCATTTAAATAGATCTGTTCGGTGATCCCCATCCAGGAGAGGAAGAGCAAACCGGGAGCCTTTTGTTGTCTAAATTGTTTTTGTCACTTGAGTCAGAGCATTTAAAGAGCTTTGATTTCTTTAAGAGCTTTCCTTGCTGAGGGAAACAAGCTTTTAACTTCTGTTCAGATTTTCCCCTCCTAAGTTTACTTGCTTTTTGAAGTCTTCCTTCTCGCTGCTCCCCGTGGGGCTGTCAGCAGCCCCCGGCTGCGGGCACGGTGTTGGAGGGAGGATGCCACGCTGGGATCACATCCTGCAGAACGGCTGCTCACAGCTTTCCCTTCCGTGCTGCCAGTCACTTCACCCCTGTCCGGTGATGTGAAGGAGATCCCCAACACTCCCTGCACAGCAGATGTTGTCTGTGAAGTCCGGTGTGCCCCACAGCCCCAGTGGCAGACAGGGATGTCCCACCTGTCACCAAGGCACGATGTTGTGTCCTGGGCCACAGAGCAGCTGTGGTGCTGGGCAGTGCCATCAGAGCACCACCCCCAGGTGGGCTCTGCCAGCCCCTCACACAGGACCTGGGTTTTGCAGGGCTCCCAGCCAGGCACTGGCTGTCACCAAATGGTGTGAGCTGCACAGGGCAGCAGGCAGGATGTCAGTGCTCCCTGGCCCACAATGGCTGGGGGAGAGCTGCATCCCATGGAGGACCTTGCTGCAGGGTGCAGGAGAACCCTGGCCCCTGGCTGGGAAGAATAATTCCTGCTTGCACCCAGCTGACAGCAGAGCATCACCATTAGCAACAGAACAGCCATCCCAGGAGATGTGTGTGAGGCCAGAACCTCCTGGCACAGCTCTGGGGCCGAGCTGGCTGCAGGTTGGGCAGCACATCTGTGACACCTCAGGATGCCCAGGGTGTCCCCAGCCCAGCACAGTGTCCTGCAGCAAACCAGCATGGGCTCCCAGCAGGACGGCTTTTGCATGTAATTCCTGGGTTTGGGAGGCAGGTGAGGAAGGTGCCAGTGGGATGTGCCATTGCTCCTTAGGCTGCAGATGATGCTGGAGGAAAGCACTGGGTGCCCAGTGCCTTCCCACTGGGAAGGCCTGCCAACTACCACAGGGAAAACTGAACAGCCTGTAGAGTGATGTCCTTGCACAGCACCTCAGGCCATCCTGGCTGGTGCAGCTCCTTATCTGTTCACGTTGGGAAAAAAATCAATTTTATCATTGATAGGTAACTGATACGGTCTCCCAAGGCCTGACACATCCTGGGCTTGTCATTGGGTTTGTCCTTTTAGTTTAACTACAGCCGCTGTTTCTCTCTTTGGAGAAGGTTTAACTGTAGGTGTGCCTGCGTGTCCATTTCTTTACTGTGTGTTGCTTCCCGGCTGCTGCGTTGCTCCTTTGGCTGCAGCACGAGACCCAGCAGCAGAGAGGGGCAGGACCAGTGCCTGCCCCCAGCTGCTCCTGCCCACTGCCACCTGTGCAGAGCCCAGCTGGGCTCACACTGGCGCCAGGAGCCCCTCATGGCCTCTCTGGTCCCTCCGAGGAGGCGACGATGCTGCGGCTGGCCCCTGTGCCCAGCGTGCTGCTGGTTCACTGTGATGATGCTGGGGAGGCAGCAGGGCCCTCGAGTGCCAGCTCTGGCCACACCATCCCGAGCACGTGGCACCCCGCACCTCCAAGCAGGAGAACGGAGAAATCCCTCTCTTTCCTCAGGAATGTGTTCGTGTTTCCCCTCTGGGCTGCAGAGCTGAGCCCCTCGGGCGCTGGCCCTTCCTCTAGCCAAGTGTTGTGCAATAGCAGGGCTCTGTCCTAGCAGATGGGGTCTGACAGGGTAGGTGTTTAGCACCCCTCCCATCCCCGAGCAGCCCGTGCTCCGCATGCACTCACGCTCGCGTTTCCCTTTCTGTAAATACGGGAGGAGCAGCGCGGTGCCCGCGCCCCCTGCCCGCCCCCGCAGGGGGAGCTGGCAGCTGCCACCGTGTCCCACGGAGTCACTTCGGTTTTGTTTCTCTACCCAGATGAAATTAGAAGGTTGATTTCCTCACCCTTGTTATTTATTTTTTTTTTCGGAGGTCTTTCTGGGACCTGGAAATAAATTATTTCCTTGTCGTCTAGCCTGAGTCTTATGTGCTTTTTTTTTTTGTCTTTTTTTTCCTTTCCTTGCATTGCCCTGTCATTGTGGTCCCTTTGGTGCCTTCCACGAGGGGCTGGGTGGCTGATGGGCCATGGCACAGCCAACCCCTGCAGCAAGTTCCCACTGGCACGATGCTGCATCTCTGGCTTCTTCCCATTTTTCATTGAAATGCTCATCAGAAAAAGCTTCTTCAAGAGAAGGGTCATTTTTTCTCTCTGAACTTGAAAAAAATTAAAATGAACATCGAAAAAAAATGCCCTTGGTTTTCTCCATCCCTTTCAGGAGAAGGTTGGGTTGTGCTTTGAGCAGCCCAAACCATTGTATGATTCTGTAATTCTTGATGGATTCAGTACAGCTGAGCATTGCCAACAGCATTGGTACCTGACCCGTTCTCATTTTGGTGATGCTGTGTGTTACAGCAGTGTTCAGTTACTGGCAGCAGCTAAAAAATCCTCCTTCAAACTCAGTTTTAATACTGAAAAAATCCAAATAAATGGCATTCTGGCCTGACCCAGCTAAATCAATTGCTGGTGGTTTCCTTGATGGTCAGGGGCTGGGGAAAGATCAAGGTGCTCATGGCAAAGAAGGCCCATGAGCCTGGGAAGCCTCACTGAGGTGGCTGCAAATGCTCCAGCACCCATCAGAGTGACAGTGGCACACCAGGGAGGGCTGGAGCAGGCACAGAGAGAGGGGACATGGCCAGGTCAGCAGACAGAACAGGCAGACTTTAAACTGCTCCATAAGGGAACACTCATTTAAACAGCATCTTACAGTCCTGGCTCCAAAACAGGATTATTGTTCCCCCAGGTCTTGAGTGTTCCCTTATCCTTCACCATCCCCTTGCCTCCACTCCATCCTGCTCCCTTGATTATTCACTAAATGTTATGGAAGAAGCATCTGGTGACCTTTGATGACAGCAGTTAGTGGAAGCTGTGACAGAAGGGGGAAGCCTTGAGGCCAGAGGGTTTTCCAGAGGCACAAGGTGTGCTGTCAGACCTCAACATCCATGCAGTTTTCCTTCTCACACTTACAGTGAGTGCCTCTACAGCTGCCAGCCTGGAGGAAGCATTTCTGCCAGCATCACCATTAACTGCAGCATTAATTGCCCCCTCACAGCAAGTCAATCCGTGCTGTGGTCACAGCCACCTGCTCTGGCAGGTCTGCACACTTGGCCCGTGGCTGTTTGCAAAGAGCTTAGTGTTTGTACCCAGGCCCTTGGCAACAAGAACTCTCATCCAGCTGCAGCTCTCCAAGTCCTGCTGTCCCACTTCAGGCACCCAAACACTTGGGGATTCTAGAGGCTGGGGTCTGGAGTGTTCTGGGAACTCCACATTGAGGAGGAGGAGGAGGAGGTGTCTGCAGTCACTGTGCTCATTGCAGTGGGGGTGACAAGTGCCTGGCATTGAGTGTGAGCCTGTGCTCTGCAGGAGGATTTGCTTCTTGTATATTGTGGGGAAATGGAGAGAGCTCAAAGCAACAAATTGCCAGTCAGAACCAGACCCTTCACTACAAAAGAGGAGGATTGTTGAGAGCTTTGATTGCAGAAGCATCTGTGAAGATGCTTGAATAGTTCCATGCCTCCTCAACACAGCCCCTTCTGAGGAAATTCTTCCACAGCAGCTTCTCTCTCTCCAGCAGTTGCACAACAGCCTCCTTGCAGAGCAGGGTAAGGGCAGGTCCCTCTCCTCCTCCTGCGGGAGGGGAAGCCAGTCCTGCTCTGCAGATGATGCTTCTCTCCACATGGGACATGACCTGTGGCTGTCTGCTGGCAGTGCTGGCTGGGGACAGTGGCACTTGCCACTGCCACATTCTGAACGGGTCCTACGGGGCTGGGGCTGCTGTGTCCCATCAGCCACGGGCTGCTGCAGCCCCTTTCCCATCCCCAGCACAGGAGGCTGCATCAGTCACCTCCAGTGCCTGCACTCAGCCATGGCAAGCTGCAGAAGGCAAGGTGTCCAGGTCCCCTCTAGAGAGGGATTTGCAAAAGATGGATGTGATCTGCTGGGATCATTAAAAGGAAGTGAAAAAAGGGCAGTGATACCTTCAACCCCAGGAGGAAAATCCATCTCTGGTAGCTGAATGTAGCAAGGCTGTGTCAACCTCTACCTCCCGTTCCCACTGGCAATATCTTGCTCTGGAAGGTGATCCCTTCTCTCCCCATACCCTCTGAGGAAGCTGCTTTATCACCAGAAAGCTGACATCTTTTAACCACCTCCACCACAGCTAATATCCCAGCCCCCTACATCCTTTCATTTACCCAGCCCTTGAGCTGCTCTCAGGGTTGGTGTCAGACTCTCCCTGCTCAGCAAAATCTCTGTTTTACATCTCTGCCCTGTGCCTGGTGCAGGCAGCAGCTCTGTCTTGTCAGGGCTCTCTTGCTGTCACAGAACTCTGGTTTGTGCTGTCTGCTTGCTGTGGCTCTGCTGCCTCCCAGCCCATCCCAGGAGTGTTCCCAGTATCTGGAGATGACCTGGCTTTGTGCTCAGCAGCAGTTCTTGCTCCCCTCTCACTGCTGGGAGCAGAGCTGTGTTTCCAGGCAGCTGTCACAGCTCTGTCACCACAGCCAGAGAAGTTGGAGAGAA